AATTGATAAATTTAGACTTTCAAATCTGGACGGTCGAGGCACAACGATGAGCAACGAAACTGAAACACTTTTTAGGACAGTTCATCAATATCTACGCGCGTTTAGAGCCATGTCCTTGTTTCCTGCTTCATCAATGTCTTTTTCTTGATGTAGTCAAGGACACGTCACCACTCATTTGCCACATATGGCCCTCAAGTCAGGAAAACTTTAGATAAACCCGATATATTACATGATTCATGATTCATTTAATAAATTTTTATCATCAAATTAGTCCAAAATTAAGCATCGTACGATTTCTCATCTGTCTTTGCCGGAGAAAGATTTAATTAGGTGTCTCTTTCTTCCTTTCACATCGACTAATCTAAGATGAAATGACAGTATAATCCATAATCCAGATATTTGTGTCTCATTTTCCCAAATTTCACAAAGGAATATTTTTTTTAAATCCAATCATTTTAATTAATCCCCACAATTTACAATAGTTTATCCCCTCTCCATTCAATATGATAATTTATAAGGTACTTTTTTTTGAATATTGTGTTAAAAAATTAAAAAAAAATCCCAAAATATATATAAATCATACGAGCCACATTATCTATTATCTAAAATGTAAATATCTTCAACCTTTGTTAAGATAATAAAACATTAGACCCACAAAAGGGTGGACTAGTTGACGGAGTGATACTATTTTAATAATCTCATTAATTTTATCTTTGGTACATAAAATAAATATTTAACAATTATGTTATTATCATATATTAATTTAAAATTTTAAATAAATTATATAAATAAAGTTAAAAAAATTATAAGTGCTTGAAGACTAGTTTAAGCCTGAGCTTTTGCTCAGCTAAAAGTTTTTTACATCAAAATTCTCTTCTTCTTCTTTTTTTCAAATCAGCCCTCAAAAAATATAAGATGTAAAAAATTACTCCCTCCATTTTTATTGTTACAAACACTATCACTTTTGACATATATTTTTTATAATTAAAATTATCTATTTCAATAAATATTTATTACATATTTTTTAAATTACCCTTTATAATTTACATTAATAAAAAATGATTAATGTATGATATATTGATTAATATAGATATTTTAATTTTTTTATTTTTAGATATAATTATTATACTTAATTAATTTTTTTTAAATTATGTGATATATTTTTTTTTTTCTTTATGCATAAGAAACTGAGGGGCCAATCCCTAGGGTTTATTGACGGTTCTATCTATGAGGACCCCAAATGGTGCATTTCTCTAAAGATGACAAGATATCATGAGTTACACGTGTCACGTGGTTACCCAAGAGTTTGGGTATGTGTAAAGGATTAATTCAGTAATATTCATATTATTTGAGGGACGAAATTAAAAACAAATATAAATTATGAAGGCCTATTTAAAACATAATAAAAATTACAGGATGATTAATTTTTCCAAATAAAGAAACATCCTTGTGGCCGGTATTCTCCTTGTTGTTGGTTTATGAGGAAAACAATGAGAAATTGAGAATAGATCCAAATAATTTGAAGAAAACACAGTGCCCTTTCAAGGCTGGAACTACTGTTGGCTTTAAAAAAAAAATAAAAGGCTTGAAATAACCGCCATAAATAGTCCATGAATTGCCTTTGGCTCTTGCTTTAGCTTTTGCTCTGTATTTGTTTGGAGTCCCTGCTCTCTTTGAAGCCTCAGGCGTCATCTTCATGATGGATTCAGGTATGTCACATGCCACGTGTGTATTTGAATGAGAAATTGGTAGAATTATATTCCTTCCTCGTACTGAGAGCCATAGGTGGGCCCAATTTGTTTGGTGAGGTTTAGAAATTCAATTATATTAAAATTTCCTAATTTTTCAACTCCAAGCTTTAAAAATAGACTTAAGGAGGCAATTTGTCAAGTTTGATGCATAATCTTGGCTCTTCTTGTCACTGTAAAAGAGTATCTCCAACTAATAACTGTCTTATCAAAATAAAAAAGGCAGTTAAATTATTACCTTTGTTTAAAAATAAATTAAGTTATTAATTTTGCTCATATTTAAATTAAAAATTTTAAATGTGTATTATATTTTTTTCCCCATAGTCAATGACTTTGCTTTATCCGTTCAATGTTATAAAAGCATTTTTTTTAAATTATCATATTAAAAAATATAAAGCATTTTAGGTTTTTCAAAGTCTAATTAATAAATTTTTTTAAAAAATATCCTTAATTAAAGGGTATATAATAAGTGTATATTTTATAACTAAATAGGTATAAATTTTGATTTAAATTTATTTATATTTATTAAGATTTCATATTTATTTAATTAATATTTATATATTTTTCTTTCATCATTTAATTATGAGATAAAATGAAATTTTGATATAAAATTTATTTATATTTTTTTTATTTTGAAGGAAAATAATAGATTAAATAAAGTAAGAAAATGAAAGGAAAATAATATATATGCATACATGGAGAGTGAGAAGGAACATGCCACGAAATGTCACGTACATTAAAGGAAGCAAAATACCATATGTATGTGTGTGGAGAGAGAGAGGGGCAATTAGGCATTTTGAAAGAGGATTTTATGAGGAAAAGGACACGCACACATCTGAAGTCATATCTGAGCACACGTGAGCGCGCACATACACAGAGTCATCCAATTACTTATTTAAATATTTTAAATTTTTTTTTAAATATTTGAACCTCATGAAAGTATTTTAAAAACTAAAAGTGAGATTGTTGAAGAGTTTTATAAATTATAATTATTTTTTTACACCTTAATTTTTTTTGTAATCATTTTTTATGACAGAGTCATCCAATCACATATTTGAGTATCTTAAGAATTGCTTTTGAGATATTTGAAGCCCATAGAAGTATTTTAAAGGTTGAAAGTGAGATTGTTGAGGAGTTTTACAAATTATAATTATTTCTTTTCTACACCTTAATTTTCTTTGTAATCATTTTTTATGACAGAGTCATCCAATCACTTATTTGAGTATCTCAAGAATCCCTTTTGAGATATTTGAAGCCTATAGAAGTATTTTAAAGGCTGAAAGTGAGATTGTTGACGAATTCTACAAATCATAATTATTTTTTTCTACACTTTAATTTTTTTTGTAATCATTTTTTTATGACAAAATCATCCAATCACTTATTTAAGTGTCTCAAGAATCCCCTTTGAGATATTTGGAGCTCATAAAAATATTTTAAAGGCTGAAAGTGAGATTGTTGAGGAGTTCTACAAATTATAATTATTTTTTTCTACACCTTAATTTTCTTTGTAATCATTTTTATGATTGGAGATTTTAGAACGGTGTTATTTAATTTTATTTTGCGTTTCTAAATTACTTAATTGGGATAGGGATGCTTCCCAATTGGGGAGCTAGTTTTTTACTTTTTTGTTTTGACTCTTTGCATTTATATTTATAAATATTTTTGCTTTTTCCAATTACATTTATTTCTCTTGCTCTTCATATTGATTTAATGACTGGTCACCATTTAATCAAATATATGAGTAATCTTGATGGATTGGGAGGTGAAAAGAAAACCTAAATATAGAGAAATAAATATAAATAACTGAACTAAAGATAGTTGGATATTGTAGGAATGAATTCAATACTAATTAAAAAGGGACTAATAATTAATATAATTTAGTTAAAAGTATTTTATAATAATGAATATGAGAGTAAATAAGAGTAATATTAGAAAAAACTTAATTAATATATCATCAAATAAATTATAATAAAAATCATACATGTCTTCCAAAATGTCTCATTATAAAGACTAGAGGAAATATATTTGAGATTGAACAGAGAGATAAGATTTTTTTAAAATTGCCCTTTAATTAAGGTGTAATTAATAAACTTTTTTTAATTGAGATAACATATTAAATGATATAAATATAAAAATGAGTAATTTAAAATGTCACTAACTCATTAAGGATGTGAATTAATTAAAGGTGTTTTATAATTTTAATTGAATAATATATATATATATATATATATAGGGTGTGCTTGGGATGAGATCGGAATGGCCTCATCCCATGTCTCATATTAGATAGGGAAACATGGTGAAATTTTTGACTCATTTCTCGTGATCCTGTTCTATTCGAAGTCAGGACAAGACTTAAAAATTTCTAGTAAATAGATAGAGTGAACAGGAGATATGGAGAAGAGAGAATATAAAGTACAGGAACATTTGTAAAACTTATACGAAGCATCCAATCAAGCAATTTTAAGAAAAAGATACACAAGTTCCCAACCAAAAAAAAAAAAATTAATTAATAGGTTCTCTGAATTTGACTTGTTACCTATAAATCCATTGGAGAGCCTGTGCAAAACCACACACAATTTTTTACATAGTGTACATTAGGCATGCAATTCACGTATTTTAGTATATTGGTTGAACCCAAATACAATCAGGTACATAACTCAATATGCATCAGGACCTTTATAACAAATCTATGACAAAAAAATCACGGGCTGAATGACCACAAGGCTTGACAAACTCTTAAAGTATAACAAGAAGTCTCATAAATTAAAGGTAATTAAAAAGGAATGAGCCCCCACACATACTCACATACAAAAAAATTGGTATGTCTCTGAAGTCTTGACACTTGATATCAAGGTAACCAAATACCTCCGATATTATTGATTAATAACTTCAAGCTTTGTCATGCCAGTCAGTATCCCTTTTTATGTGTTGGTGCTTCCTAATTAGTTCTCAGTTCATGTCTCTTTGTCTCTCTCCTTTTCTAGATTCGCCAAGCCAGTGCCGAATCAAAGACATGAAAGTGGAAGGCAGGGACTTATACCTAGCTCGTCTACTCAAGACCTGTGCTAGGTATATTGAAGATGGTGAGTTCAAGAAGGCAAGCTCCGGACTACAGTGCATTGCTAGTGTTGCCACCCCTGATGGTGATCCAATGCAGAGAGTAGCTACTTATTTTCTTGATGGGCTTGCTTATAGGTTGGTCATGAATATTCATGGTGTGCCTGAAGCCCTGAATCTGTCAAATCCCTTGTCAACCTTAGCACAACAGCATGTCAGAAAGTTGTTCAGTGAGTTTTGTCCATTCTTGAAGTTTTCTTACCTGATAACCAGTCAAGCTATTGTTGAAGCCATGGGGAGAGAACAAGTGATTCATATTATTGATCTCAATGCATGCGATGTTGCTCAGTGGATATCTCTTCTTCATAGTTTGAGAGATCAACGACAAGGAAATCCACTACCTTTTGTGAAGATCACAGGGATTCATGAGAATAAAGGGGTTTTGGAACAAACGGGGATTCAGTTGATTCAAGAAGCTGAGAAAATGAGCATCCCCTTGGATTTCTATCCCATTGAGAGCCAATTGGAGGAACTTTGCTTTGAGAATTTGCCTGTGAAGCCAGGAGAGCTTATTGCTATAAGTTCTGTTCTTCAGCTACATTCTCTACTGGCAGTTGAAGATCAAATCAGTCATGATTCAATTTTGCCACCTAATCCTTCTCAATGTGTTTCACCTAAGATGAGGTTGTTCCTAAATAGCCTTTTGAAACTGCAACCGAGGTTGATGGTCATTACAGAACAAGAATCAGATAACAATGGGCATTCTGTGACAGAAAGGCTTAATAAGGCACTGACTTTCTATGCTGCATTGTTTGATTGCTTGGAAGGTAATGTTCCAAAAGCAAGAGCACTAGAGAGAATCATGCTGGAGAGAATTCTTCTTGGGGAAGAAATAAAGGACATCATTTCTTGTGATGGGGTTGATAGAAAAGAGAGGCATGGCAAGTTTTTTAAGACATGGCTTCCATGGCTTGAATTGGCTGGATTTAAGAGGGTGCCACTCCACTATGAGAGAATGTTGCAGGTAACAAGGCCATTGCAGAGCTATGGGCGTGGATACAAGTTACTAGAGAACAACCAATGTCTGTTCACATGCTGGAATGATCTTCCACTCTATTCCATATCAGCCTGGAGGTTCTGAGGGAAAATTCTGGGAGATTTGGTCAATAAGAACTTGTAAGAGCGCTATATGAAGCTCATCTATAAGTTAATCATGATTAAGTATCAGTGGAATTATCAGATTTGGGCTTGACTATATGCACGCATAATTTAATGAGTTTCGAAGTGAAGAATGAGCTGTCTTCACAACCTCAAAGCACTATTTTTACGTTCAGTTTAATTAATTGGGAGAATTACTTTAAGATCAACCTCAAGAAAATTAATTACTCTCACATCATTCTCCTAAGCTCAATAGAAATGGATCTCGGAGAAATTAATTGTCTTGAGCGAGACTTGTGTGTACTTCTCCCTTATTAACTAAGCCTTGTATTATAGAGTTGTATTCGTATCTTCCATTGAGAACTCAATGCAATAAAGTAGAGAAACAAAGAGAGGTAGCTCAAAGTTTACTCTTTTGATCTTCTCAAAAGCAATATAGACCAAACTCGAGTAGAAAGTTCCTACCATGGAGGCAACAACTCGAAGATATAAGACCTGACACTCTGAAGTCTTATTGATTTTTGTGTTTGAAGAATCACAATAAATTTGGTGCGATCTTCAACTCCATTTATCTTGTTTACATCTCTGAATTTCTGTAGTAGTTCACTGCAGTTCATCATATTGTTTTGCAGAATCTGATATTTTCACTGATCAAACTACCTTTTGAGGGCCTGATATCTAGGTCTTTGCGAAATTTATCCTATATTTATCTGCATTATTGTGAAAACCATTTTAAATCAAACAATGTGAGAAAATTTTTTGTAAGGATCCCAATTTTAGTCCCTTGATGATTTTTTGAGCTAACAGACAGATCATTTTTTGTGTAAATACCAGTAGAAGCCTCATCTATGGCTCTACTATAATTCTACTGTTGCTTAAGTTGGATCTAGTTCTAATCAATCACAAGCAGGTATCGGATCACGTACATGAATCTCACTAGTCTCTCTATCTCCCTAGTATTTGACCATGAAGCCCCTGCAGAGTTTGAGCTTTTGTCCTAATTACATTATAAATTTGGCCTAATTACTTAAGCACTATAGTGTTCCTTCTTAATAATGTAGGTAATTAAAGTCTTAATAAAAATATGCGTGCCTCATAATTAAACACAAAACTACAGAACATTGCATCTTTTTGTTCTTGTCCTTTTCTCCTAATCATGTTGCATTACAAATTTGGCAGAATTATTTAAACAATAGTTTATCTTCTTAATTAAGCTAGCTAGATAAAGTTTTATACTATTATGAGTCATACGTCAAGAAGCCTCGCAAGAAAAATTTATAAGTTTAAGGAACTCTTCATCCAAATATGCTAGTGTTTTGAAATAAGCTCTTCTTTTAAACTTACATATACTAATAATGTTGATAATTTTGTTGAGAGCTCAATCTCACAAAGATTACCCATGCAAGGTTTTGATTGGCAAAAGGTCGAGCAAAGTATTATGGGTTTGTCAAGGACCTCACCTCTCAAATGGAGGTGCATTGCTATGAGTTTAAGGGGATTTTCTCACTTAATATGTTAGTCTTCTATGTACTATGCAATGATATACAAAATTAGATATTTAAGTTTGTGTATTTATGCATTCAAAAGTGAATAATGTAAAAAAAAAAAATGTGTGGCTATGGATAAAGTTTATATATCTTATTTTTCTCTCTTGTTAAACACATTAATATAACTGGAGAAGATTGGTAATTGGGTTTGTACACCAAGACAACTTCATTAATGACTATATATTATCATAAATGGTTGCCAAAAGTTAAAGGAGCTATGTGGTGAATAAATTTATGACATAGGTTTCTCAACTTAATCCCAAAGGAATCACAAGACTTCTGTCCACATTTGGTTTAGAAAGATTTGCTTTCTTTCTTTCTTTCTCGGTAAGGACTAACAAGGTGAAATGAGAGTTTGGCCCTATCTTGTTTCCTTTTCCTTACATGACAGAAAATAACTTTGTAACATTCTCCTATGTTTGGCTTTTAAGGAAAACGGCAAGAGATTCATCACTAGAAATACACATCAATTTACAATTTCTACTCCCTCACTTTACTCCACCTTTTTGCACTCTCTTTGCAGATCCAGCAATTTGAATCTCTGTTGATCTTCATAATGGATGCAGGTATGCACTCTCGGATTTGAGCTTGCTTTTAAGTTCAGAATGAAACGGGTTTTGAAGATGGGGAAATAAGAAACAAAAAGATTATTCTTTTCAACAGAAGACAGTAGGGGTGTGTATAAGTTGACCGAGTCAATTGTTTTTTGGATCAAAACCATTTGTTTTCTTAGTATAGCAATTTTTCCCACGGCAAATAATGGGATGTCATTGCAGAATTATTTCTGTGTTGATATTGTATCTGTTTTCTGAATACTTATTTCCATGAACAGGACCTATTTGTGAAAATTTAAATTTCATCACATACAATCAGGAGTGTCAGTAAGAGTAATTTGTTATTTGTTTTAAGTTCATCACACGTATTTGATCTAGATTTTATGAATTAAAAAAAAAAGAAAAGAAATAGAACCTTGTCTGTGAACTTATACAAGAACAGACTTAAGGTAGGAAATAACGGCAACTGCCACTTATTCACATGGATATCTATTTCATCCATCTCGATTAGCATCTGTCTCTCTCTACACAAACACACAATATCTATCATGAATATAATACACACCAGATGACCCTTTCTTTTAATTTTTTTTTTTAATTTGCCCCATTTAACTTTTAGAAGTCTCCAGCACATGCTTTAATCCATTCTTTAAGAAGACGCTTGATATACTATACCTCATGCATATTTTGAATGCATGAAGTCTCTGCTTACCTCAAATATATAGGCAAGGTTCTTCTTTGTAGATAGTAATCCCTTATGGACTCTTGCAATCCCTATCTCTTTTGGTCAAATTCTAACCTTTTGGTCGTCAAACCGAATAGACTTAGCCCTGTCCATGCAATCTTGGATGACAAGAGGAAGATTGAATAACCCTTTTCTCTGCAACTTTGAATGACAATAGACATAATGAATACAATTATAACAAATGATAATAAGATTATTAAGGTTAAGATGCCAATTAACCAAACAACTCCCAAATTATGAATAATACTTCAACTCTTTTTCATATTTGTATATCATATATGTGTTAGTGCTTCTATATTCATGCATCTGACTCTCCATGAATAGATTCACCAATGCAGTACCTTAGAGACATGAAAGTGGAATGCAGGGGCTCGTTCCTACCTCGTCTCCTAGCGACCTGTGCTAAATATACTGAAACTCTTGACCTTAACAATGCAAGTGCAGCACTTGAGAACATTGCTAGTGTTGCCTCCCCTGATGGTGATCCAATGCAAAGGGTAGCAACCTACTTTAATAAAGGGCTTGCTTACAGGTTGGTCAAGAATATTCATGGTGTGTCTGAGGCCCTGCATGTGTCAAATCCCTTGCCAACCTTAGAACAACAGTATGCCAGAAAGTTGTTCGTTGACTTCTGCCCATTCTTGAATTTTTCTTATCTGATCACCAATCAGGCTATTGTTGAAGCCATGGAAAGAGAACAAGTGTTTCATATTATTGATCTCAATGCATGTGATGCTACTCAATGGATATATCTTCTTCATACTTTGAAGGAACAACGCCAAGGAGACCAACTACCTTTTCTGAAGATCACCGGAATTCATGAGAATAAAGAGGTTTTGGAACAAATGGGGTTTCAATTGATTCAAGAAGCTCAGAAAATCAGCATCCCCTTCCACTTCTATCCCATTGTAAGCCAGTTGGAGACTCTATGCTTCGAGAAATTGCCTCTGAAACCAGGAGAGCCCCTTGCTATAAGTTCTGTTCTTCATCTTCATTCTCTTCTGGCAGTTGATGATCAAATCACTCCTGATTCAGTCTTACCACCTAATCCTTCGCAATGTGTTTCACCTAAGATGAGGTGGTTTCTAAGTAGCCTTTTTAAACTCCAACCGAGGCTGATGGTCATTACAGAACAAGAATCAGATAACAATGGGCCTTCGTTGACAGACAGGCTTGATAAAGCACTGAACTTCTATGCTGCACTGTTTTATTGCTTGGAAGCTAATGTTCCAAAAGAAAAAGCAGCAGAGAGAATCCTGCTGGAGAAGATGCTTCTTGGGGAGGAGATAAAGAACATTATTGCTTGTGACGGAGTTGAAAGAAAAGAGAGGCATGTCAAGTTTCTGAAGACATGGTGCCCATCGCTTGAATTGGCCGGGTTCATGAGGGTCCCCATGGACTATGAGAGAATGTTGCAGATAACGAGGCCATTGCAGAGTTATGGGAGTGGATACAAGTTGCTAGACTTCAATCAATGTCTGTTTACATGCTGGAATGATCTCCCACTCTTTTCTATATCAGCCTGGAGGTTCTAAGGGAAAATTTCAAGGTGGACTTGTAAGAGCACTATAGGAAGCCCAGCTTTATGTCAAGCATGATGAAGTATCAATAGCATTGTTTGATTTGAGTTTGTTAACAATATACAAATGTAGGTGGTTTTATGTCTTTTTGTCCTAAACCATGTCCACTTGTAAGTTAAGTTGAGTCCGATGGTGAAGAATGAACTGTAATAATACCACCATAAAGCACCGTGGGTGCGTAAGCTTGTATAACAGAACAATAAAGTCAAAAGTTCTTTGACTACATTATTTCAACTCATCTATTTCATTGAGTTCTTTTAAGCTTTGTACTATGGTATTGGAGCTGTGATTTTTATCATCAATTGAGAATTCAGTGCAGTTAATAAGTGAAGAACCATAAAGAAGCAGCCCAAAGTTTACCGTCTTGACCTTCTCAAATCCAAATTCGGATCATACTTGAGAGGAAATCTTACACTCTGTTGTGTTGTTATTTTATTACATAAAAGTTCCCTTACTTTGTGTTTGCAGTTGGACACAGCATCTCCTCATTTGGATCACTGTAGATTTGGTGTGTGCTTGTTCTACGTTCACTAACTTGTCTAGTGTCTACATGTCTGAATTAAACTAGCACTTCACAGAAATTCATCAGCGATTTACAGAATGTGATATCTTTTGAAAACCCACTTTTCACTGCTTACTCTGTTTTTATTTATATTATTGTGAAAGCTATTTCAAATCAAACAGTGAGAGGAAAATTTGCGGAGATCCGAACCCTTTTGTGATCCTCCGTGCTGATAGGCAGAGAAACTTACACTGTAAATAATATAGAAACCTCAGTTATGGCTCTACTCCAACTTCTAGTAGTGGCGGAGCCACACATGTATTTCAGAGAGGGCATATGCCCCCCTCAAATAAAAAAATTACTTACATAGAAATGACATATAAGTATTTACATTTTGCACTCTCTCTTTTTTATAGTTTGCATTTTAAACCATTTTATATTATTTTTTAACTTAGATTTAAAATTAATTTTTTTAACTCAAAAGCCCAATAAATTTTAGCTCACAATTTTAATATACTCAAATAGTAATACTATTTTACAAAAAATTAACATTTATTAAACCTATAAGAAAATAAGAAAAAAATACCTCGCCTGTGTCGTTTGAAATCTTAATACAAATTTGTCAAAAAATTAGTTGAAACTAAAAGGCATATTTTTATCCATTAGTTTACCTTTTCTTAAAATTAGCAATGATGTTATCTATTGCCACATCAATAGTTGAAAGAGTCTTTTCTATTATAAAGTTTGTAAAAATTTGATTGCACAAATGAGGAATCTATGGATGAATAATTATTTCGTGGCTTATATTAAAAAAAATATATTGAAAGTATTGACAATGAGCTGATTGTTTAATAATTTCAGAACATGAAACCATGTAGAAAAAATTTATAAAGTATGTAATTATTAAATAATTTTTGTTATTTTTTAAAATTATAAATATTTAAATGATTTTGTCATCCTAGCCCAAGATCCTGACTCTGCCACTGACTTCTGGTGTTGCATTAAGTTGGATCTGGCTCAATTTTCAAATATAATTCCGTCTCTTACTTTAGTTTTTTATTTTATTTTATTTTTTAAAAAAATGACTATCCTAAGAAAGATTTTAGAAGAAGAAACTGCTATGCATTACAGACAACAGCTTTGTCCAGAGTTTCTGGTTTCTTGCAATAAGATGATATCCATAGGATTATATAACCTTATTCCATTGGCCCTATTCAATTTTCTTAGCCCATCACAATCTTCCATGTGTGTGTTTGCATAGAGTAATTCTCTTTGGGTGGATTAATGCATCTTGCTTTTGTTTTTAACCCTTCCTCCTAGTTGCATCATAGACTAGGCTGAATTAACTAAGCACTATATGGGTTACTTGCCTAGTTGCTAAGACAACTTTAATATATATTACAAAACCAAAGAAAGATAAATGTATGATCAGAAAAGAATCCAATGATCAATAACATATTATGACATAGGATTCTGTAATTATACCTGGGGACATCCGAAGCCTTAGGAGAAACATTTCTGAGCATATAGATATATATATATATATATATATTTTGGCGAAAGTGGATATAGATACTGTTTGGAAAGATGTTGTTTGTCTCTAGCTAGCACTTCCATAGACTAGGAGAGAAATGAGAGAGATATTTCTGTCTCAATATATTTATATACATACAAATGACCAGAAAAAAAAAAACAAGTATTTAAATTTGTTTCATTCTACTAACGTTTCTTATTTCCTCGATCGGTAAAAAACCACATAACAATATAATAGAAATGGCGATGACATCAAACATCTTGTGTTTTGTCCTCAAATGAATGCAACATTCCTGCATCTCAAGTTTCTATAAAACTAAAGCCCCTTTAATCAAAATTTTGCTCCCCTGAACTCCAAATATTTGAAGTCACTTTATTGTATTGCTCTTCACAATGGATACAGGTATATGCATATGGTCTGTTTCTCCTCTCCAAATATTAGTTTATATATATTGCTGAATCCATTAAGAGTCTTTAGAGATATCGATTAACAAAACTACATATCTGCGAGCTTATTGTGAGGAGAAATTAAAGAAATTGTTCCTCTTTTTTTTTTGGCCAACAGTGTAATTGTTATGGAGACTCAGTGCTGTCCACGTGAGACTCAAGTAATAATCAAATGTAATTACAGTGGGTTTGTGAATTTTTTTTTCCAGATCAGGATCGTTTGATCTCAAAATCTTTTTCTACACCTCAGTCCACCCTTGTCAGGGCACTACTTGTGGTTGATAGTGTAAATTGTAATAGATAAGTTTGTTTGTTTGTTTTTTTTTTTTATCAAAAAAAGTTTATTTATTTATTCTTTATTTTTAAAAAAAGTAAAAATGAATAATTTGATCTCTATAATTTTGAGTGCTTAATTGAGATCAAACTTCAGCTTAACTCAGTCCAATTTGACTGAACACAGGCACAGCATAAACCAAAAGATTATTTGATTCTTAATTTCCAAGTTCATCTTTGTTGTTTGATTACTGATCAGGTTCAAGCTCAAGCTCAAACTCACCATACCAGTGGCTCAACGGCATGGAATGGGAAGCGAAGAGCATTTTAATGGCCCGTCTTCTTCCCCACGGTGCTAAACTTACAGAAACTGGCGATATCGTGAGCGTCGTAACCACCCTCCAGAAAATCGCCACCCTCGCCGCCCCCGACGGCGACGCCCTTCAACGAGTCGCCACTTACGCCAACGAAGGCCTCGCTTATCGGACGCTCAATAAGTACATACCCGGTCTGTCGGAATCACTCCGGCTGACAAATCGCTTGTCAGCGTCGGAGCTGGTGCTTGTCCGGAGACTTTTCCGAGAGTTGTGTCCCTTCTTGATGTTCTCGTACTGGATCTCGAATCACGCCATCGCCGAAGCCATGAGAGCCGAACCGGTGATACATGTGATCGATTTCAACGCTTCCGATCCAGAACAGTGGATCCATCTTCTTCATACATTGAAGGATCTGTGTCACGCGGACAATCGACCTCTGCCGTTTCTGAAAATCACGGGGATTCACGAGAAGAAGGAAGTTCTTGAACAAACGGGGTTTCTGTTGATGAGAGAGGCTGAGAAATTGAAATTCCCTTTCTTCTTTTATCCATTTGAGTGCAAATTGGAGAATCTGATGTTTGAAAAATTGCCTTTGAAGCCAGAAGAGCCTCTTGCAATCGTTTCTGTTCTTCAGCTCCATTCCCTTCTCGCTGCTGATGATAATCAAACGGCCACGACGGGGATTAATTCTCCGGCAGGTACGGCTATTATGGATATTATTGGCGGGTGTTGGGAGAGCAGGGAACATCGGCTCCTATAGGCTCAAATTTGCCTGTAAATTCTTTTTATTGCGTTTTATTTTTAAAATTTTTAATTATAATATTTCAAAATAATAAATAATAAATATTCTAATTTTAAAGTATATAAATTATAAAATTTAAATTTAATTTAAAAATTTAAAAATATTTTAGGCATAAAGCAAAATTTGGCTGGTCGAATCTTGTTTTTTTTTTTTTTTAAGACTTATTAATGTTAGACTTTAATGTCAATTTCACTAAAAAAATGCAATTTTTTTTAAATCCAAACCTTTATAAAAACATGCTTAGATGGGAAATTTGTGAGATCTGATTCTTATTCTGAGCTCTAGTGTTGATAACTTAGTAATAATAATAGTAGGAAAATTAATCATTTACTCCTAATAATTTTTGACTCAATCCTAACTCTATTATTAAATTTTTTTATTATTATGATTCAATCTTTATAATTTTAATTATTTAAATATTAGTTTCTATATTTAAAAAAATAAAATTATAATTATTTTATAATTTAGAGACTAATATTTTAAAATGCTAAAATTATAGGTACTCAGTAAGTTACCACCACCAAAAGCTAACATTACCATTAAATTTTAAAAGAAGTTAATATAAGATCATAACAACAGCATTCTTAAAACGTTAAAGCATAATCCCTTTATAACTTTTAATAATTTTGTTTTTATAAAAAAATATAATATAATTATTACTATCGAACACTTCATTTAACTGGTAAGGGAGTCGTGTTAGTATAACTAGAATCTTAAATTCAAGCATTGGAAATGTTATAGCATTAATAATAGAGATTATGCTCAAAAGGATGTGTCTTCTGCTCGATCCCAATTAGTCTGGCCCTCATTAAGTCTTACCAATTCAACGTGGGACATGCAAGCTTAAGATACTAGATGTTTCACACACAGAAAATTATAATTATAATTATTGTCCTTATTTATTTTGGTGCCTTCTAGTCAACCCACTTAATGGATCAGGTCAAATGATGATGAATGGGTATTTTTTCAGAGTTGCTTGGGAAACTTAGGATCAGACCAAGTCCTGATTCAGCTCTTTCTCCATGTGCTTCCCCTAAGATGGAGTGTTTTCTAAATGCAATCTGGAACCTCAAACCCAGGTTGATGCTCATCACTGAGCAAGAATCAAATGCTAACGAGCATGCTCTCAAGACAAGGCTAGAGAATGCACTCATATTCTATGGTGCACTCTTTGATTGCTTAGAAGCCAATGTTCCTAAAGCAAGAGAAGCAGATAGAACAATCATGGAGAGGATGCTTCTGGGTGAAGAAATCAAGAACATCATTGCTTGTGAAGGAGTTCAGAGAAAAGAGAGACATGAGAAAGCTGAGACATGGGTTCGATGGCTTGAGCTTGCTGGGTTTCAAAGAAGATCTTTGAGCTATGCTAGAATGTTGCAGGCAACAAGGCCATTGCAGAACTATGGAAGAGGATACAAGCTTATAGAGCATGATCAATGCCTCTTTGTTTGTTGGGATGATCGACCTCTCTACTCAATATCAGCATGGAAGTTCTAAAGACTTCAACTCATCATCAAGGAGAGAAATAGAGATAAAGACGATGGTATGCATTGGAAACACAAAATCTCTTCATTTCCTTATCATCATTTTCTCTTCACTTCCCAAATTATATACCATTTGACTAAAACAAATTTACTTAATGCAGTGATATCAATTGTTATAATTAGGGAAGTGAAAGGAAAATGATGATAAGAAAATAGAAAGATTTCACGTCCATGTGGTAGAACTCACATATCTCCAAGTTCTACTATCATTTATATCTCTCTTCTCTCATAATTTAATGGGATCAAGCTACTCTTTTAAGATTTTTTTTGTCTTGACTTATTTTAAGTGCGCTTAAAATAGGTGTGCTTTTCGTATATCTATACAAGTCAAGACCATTTCACTTGAAGAGAATCTAGACTTCAAAATGATGCAGCTGAACATGGAGGAAAATGTGAGTCCACAATTGACCATTAAGCCATTGAAGGGAGTATGAGCCCACGATTGACCATAGCCATTGAGGGGGACAATGTAGGTCCAAATTATAAAAGATACAGAAATCAATCTCAAGTTTAGAAAAACACATAAGCTTGTTAGTTTAATGTACTTTTTATAGGTATATGCAGCCATTTACAGTTTGCTTATGTGACTTTTTATAATTGGTTTGATTTATGTAATAAAGTTTGATCATCTGATGAGATTTGTTGCAATATGTATCTGCTAAAATTGGGGAGATAAAAAGAGAGAGAAATGTTGGTCCACTTTCTCATCTCTCTCTTGGTATATTAGTGTTTTATATATTGGGTCTATATATACCTTACATATCTTTCCTAATTTTTCATATTATCAAGTGTACTTAGCATTAATAAATTAGAATTTTAAGATGAAAAGGTTGATATTTGTAAGATAGGGAAAGGGTGATTTAGTTAAAATTTATATCTTTTTGTATCCTTTTTCATCTTTTCTACTGCAAAGATTCTATTAATAATTGACCTTTTGTTGTTATTTGTTCTCCCTAATAATACAGTAATTTAGGTTAAGCTTAACAAATTAGTTCAAATGAGCTTGAAAAATTTTAAAATTAAACTTGAGAGTTTCTTTAAAAAAAAAAAATTTACTTCCAACTCATTTGAACTATTGAAAAAAATTTGAGTCAAGCTTGAACTTAAATGAATTTAGTTCAAATAATCAAATTCATTTTTATTATTAATAAAATGAAATTAATATTTACTGCAACTTTCATTTAAAACTTACAAACCCTTCCCTAAACTTCCAGTTAATATATTTTACACTCTTAGATGAAATTTTATTTTTTTTTAAACATTGTTTGAAAATATTTTAGAAAATAAATATAAGAGCTTACTTCAAACCTAATTTGAATAAGCTAAATATAAGAGCTTACCTCACTAAAATTAATGGATACATATATATATATATATATATATATATTAAAACATTAAAACAGTATGACCCAATACAATTACAAATACAGATAGTGTCAGAAACAGCATGATTTTTCTTTTTAAAATGGATAGGTATGTATGAAGCGATAATCAATAAGACGATAACTGCTAAAACAATAATAAGATTAAACAAAGCAAAAAAGCAGAGACTTAGAAATGAATCACAGTAACATTGTACTCCACAACAGCACTTCCAGATTTAGGATCAAACCAAAGAGTATGAGCCAAAGCATAACCTCTGGCAAATCGAAACAAACCACTTCCTCCGACAATAGGCATCTCCCGGACATCTTCCATCGGAGGGTTCCTCCCAAGAACACTCAGTGAACTGCCTCTGTAAATCCCCTCTATGAACGCATAGTTCATCACCATCAGCAACACGACGTCGTGTTGAGACGCCGACGCGTACATTCCCTGAGCTCTTCCCACTAGCTTGGAGGTCAGTTCTGGTCCTTCTGTTAAAGGGTCATCAGTCATGAAAGTGGTTCCAAAATTGCTTTTTTCAGGGCTTATGATTCTGACAGCACTAGGGTTTTTGCCATCGAGAGTGTCGTGGAAGAAGAAGTGAAGGTGAGTCGTTTTTTGCATGCGTGTTGTGGTTAAGGCGATAGGGTTCTGTTCTGAGAAAGCTCCATTGATGGTGGAGATGTAAGTAGAGAAGATAGTGAGAGAGAAGAGAATGATGATGAGTAAGCTGAGAGGGAGAGCCATTTGTTTTGTTCAGATATGTTCTGTTCATTTGGTTTACTTTGCATAGCACTGATCTTATTTATAGATTTACAGATCATAGATTTGGAGACGACATCAATTGGGCATTGGTTTTGATTAAGCTTTATGTGCACTTAACTCAGCAATTAGATCTTTTTTTATTTAAGATACATTTCCCTTTGGCAAGGGAAAAAAAAAAAAAAATCCTTGGCAATCAGATCTGAACGTTGAGATGGTTTAATAGCAGAATTTATTACACACTACCAATATGCCATGTCATTTGTGCTGTATTCACCAGATCCAAATGTAAAGAAAAGTTAAGAAAAAAAGTATTTGTGTATTTGATTTTCAATTTTATCAAAAGTTAGTCAACTAAAAATTCATTTGGTAAAAAATAATTTGGTAAAAGTTAGTTATGAAATTTGTGTTTAGATAAATTTTTTAAAAACTAGTTTGATAAATTAAAAATTATTTAGATTATAATAATGATGATGTAAAATTAGAAGAGTGGAAATGGATTGATAAAAAAATTCTGCAAAGGTTTTTTAGAAAGCTATCCAAAATTAAGTTCAAGAAATAGACTTTTGGAGCTTTTTCAATATACTTTTTAAATGAACTTTGAAAATAGTTTGAGAAAATAAAACATCTTTTACATTCTTAAATTTTTAAAATTTTTTTTAAATGTAAACTATAAGAAAATCAAACCAGCTTGGAATCAATAAAGAGAAGATGTTTGTATCTTGAAAATATAAAATAAATATAAATCTTCTTATCTTGTGAGTGTTCCTTGTGACAATATAAATCATGAATTCAATCAGACAGTCAACAAAGCTATTAGCACAAGATGTAGGAAAAAAAAATCAAATCATAGTTTTACTACTATAATTCAATGATTATATAACTGTAAAGAAATAATTAAAATATATTCTCATAAAATGTCATTGAAGTCACGGTTTTATTTATTTCTAATCAAGCATAAATTTTTAAGCCTAGATGAAATTCTAAAATTATAATATAGATACTTAATGGGTAAGAGAACTTGAAATACTCACATAATTCAACAAAAGTGGGTTTAAATGAAAATATGTTAACTCATACTTCCTCCGTTTTTATATATAAGGTATTTTTTAAAAAAAAATTATTTCTAAATATAAGACGTGGTAATAATATTTTTGAGTAATTAAACAGTTTTATCCTTATCTTAAAAAATGAAATAGATAATAGATTGTTAATTATATATTTTTCTTACTACCATTATGATATTAATTATGATATTATTAGGAATAAAATTAAAAAATTATTGCGTTTTTATGTGAGTTCAACTAAATAACAAATCTTTATTGATATGTGAAATTTGATTAAAAATATCTTATATATAGAGACAGAAGGAGTATCTTACAAGAATATCGTTCAAATACTGCTAATTTAAGAACCTTATTATTAAATAATTTGTAAGTATTTTTGCAATTATTTGAGACATGTATGGGGTTTAATTTATTAAGTAGTAATTTCTATGGTTAACCGGGCTTCAAATAATCTAAAGAGAGAATGACAATTGTCATTCTGCCTACTTAAAATTGTGGCAATCATAATAGGATCCAACATCTAGGATTGGTCAGCTTTTGTAAAGCATGTTTGCCTCTCTCTCTCTCATTTTTTTTTTTTTATTTTCTGGCCGGAAAGTTTGCTTCCCTTACAAACAATGCTTCTTCGGCCTCTTTTTAAATCTTTGACAGCAAACCCACATTTTTCCCACTTTCGTGTTCCATGTTTTGGATCTTATCCACGCATTCTTCTGTATAAAAGACATCTGATATATGTTTTTTAACAACAGTTGGTCTTTTTTATATTTTTAACAACAATCCAATAATGTTCAGTATTATATTAACCAAGTTAAATCGTAGTTGGCAGGATCCCAGGTAGATGAAAAAGAGGTTCTCCCAACATATAGGTTTTTTTATTCATGAAAATTGAGTTCAAGATCATAAGGAGCTTTGTCTTTATCTTTTTTTTGTTTTATTTTTAATCTGCAAAGTCCGAATTAAATTATTTCCATTCAATTCAATTATCATCCAATAAAGCCTTCCATTTGGTGCCTCATAAATCAAAATCTTGAATTAGACCATGATTTTGGAGCACTCTAGAAATTGGCACATTTTCTGTTTGGAATCTGGAGTAAAGCAAAAACCATCACATTATTATATAGGAATAGAAAATTATCCAAAGTTTCCAAAATAGTAGTGCTTGATCACATAATTGAAATGATAGAAGAAGCCAGCACGCTCCAAAAAAGCCTTTCCCAGCATGCTTGCTTGTGCCTCCCGCAAACAAACACGAGCTTGTTGTGCCATCAGGTGATCCACCCCCCCCCCCAAAAAAAAAAAAATCTCCACACCAAGAAGGCAACAACAGGAAAGAAATGTCCCTTTGCTAAATAAATAACACATGCCAAGCCACTGTATAACATCTAAACTTGAAGCATTGATGCTATAAATTATTGTTTTATCTCACCAATTTACATTCAATCTGAGATCCAAAGCCATTCTCATCAGCTGCTAGCTAGAGGACTGAATTTTGTTTGCTTGAGGTGTTTCCTGGGAAACACCTGCGCAAGTCCATGATCACTTTTATTGCTTCCAAGGCTTCGATTATGGTGGGACGCCGTCAAGTTAGCTCCGCTTGGCAATGATACTATTGGTGCCTGTGCCGGTGCAGGACTCAACTCCTCCGCTGCTACAACCGTCACGCATGGCGTTGGTTTTTTGATAGGATACTCTCTCTGACCGGTCATTCTCCTATCATCTGCTACCTCCGTTGAATTTCCTGTAGATTGGAATATATATATGAGAGAGAGAGAGAGAGAGAGAGAGAGAGAGAGAGTTACAGGTGTCGGTGACAATATTCCAGCAAGAAGAGAAATAGCAAATCGTCGAAGGCCGGTGTTTACCATATAGATCGAAGTCCCGCTTGTATATAACATGAGACATCTGATATATGTTTTTTTAATAATAATTGTTCTCTTTTATATTTTTAACAACAATCCAATAATATTCAGTATCATATTAACCAAGTTAAATCGTAGTTGGCAGGATCCCAGGTAGATGAAAAAAAGGTTCTCCCAACATATAGGTTTTTTTATTCACGAAAATTGAGTTCAAGATCATAAGGAGCTTTGTCTTTACCTTTTTTTGTTTTATTTTTAATCTGCAAAGTCCGAATTAAATTATTTCCATTCAATTCAATTATCATCCAATAAAGCCTTCCATTTGGTGACTCATAAATCAAAATCTTGAATAAGACCATGATGTTGGGGCACTCTAGAAATTGGCACATTTTCTGTTTGGAATCTGGAGTAAAGCAAAAACCATCACATTATTATATAGGAATGGAAAATTATCCAAAGTTTCCAAAATAGTAGTGCTTGATCACATAATTGAAATGATAGAAGAAGCCAGCACGCTCCAAAAAAGCCTTTCCCAGCATGCTTGCTTGTGCCTCCCCCAAACAAGCACGAGCTTTTGATCATCCTCATGACGACAAGTGTCAACGATGAGGTTGATAGAAAACAAAAATAAATGAGAAAATTATACTCAAGTTCCTCACAACACAATTAAATGCTATAACCTTTATTAACACCTATAACCACATTCACCACAATTAAATAGTTATCACTTTCTTATGCTTAGATGTCAATAGATTTTGTAATATTGAATTATCTTGTGCAGATGCAGACGTAATTTTTCAAAAAAAAAAAAAAATCCTCTGTTTTTTGGGCCAAAAAATACCCATGTTTTGTAAACTCTTGTTTCTTAATGCTATTATTATCTCTTTACCCCAAAAAAAAAAACAAAGAAAGAGAACCAAAGCTAAATTTAAACACAAACTTGTTGATTTACAGGCTTCTTATAATGCAGGATATATCACACAAGATAAATCAGCAATTCAAAGGGAATCAGATTTCAACCACACATGAGCTATTTATTGAAGGACATTACAAGAGAAAGATATACTGTTCTATCTTTTTTTATTGACTCAATAGTCTTGTTCATTATTCAGAGGGAAGAACATCAATTACACAATATGAATCAGTATTCTCATTCTCAATCTATTGGCAATCAGCAGATTCATCCTATCAGAATATACAATAAAAAAAAATTGATCGTTTATTTCCTTCTGTTATGAACAATTGTCTTCAAAACCTTCTTCAACATTCCGAACCTACAATGAGAAGGGGTTGAGCTTGAAATGAAATTCAACTTTGCTTGAGTGATGCATGCATTTTTCCAATCAATAATCCTTCCACCATCATCCTTGGAAATTTCTGAATCATCGCAGTTAAGTTGTGCAGATTCCAAGAGGATCCTAGTTGAGTATGGTAGCCTAGTTTCAATGCACATAATAGAGTAAAAATGGGTACATATTGTCTCCTGATGTTAAGCTTCTGGCCTCTCCAGGTGTACACAAAGTAGGTTTTCTTTTTGTTCACCTGGAAAGGTCAGAACCCATGGATCTAGAGACAACTCTGGTCCAGTAAAATTTTATAGATCATTAGAAGAAGGCCAAAAAGAAATAAGCATGTGGTAGTTATATTTCCTTAAAGGAAATTCATGAATTATTAAAAATTTACATACCAGCTCTTTTATGCTAAATCACAGTAAGAAATTAAAGGAAGGTGTATATCTCAAATAGACTTTTAGCATGTAAATTTTGGCAGATTGAACTAGTATAAGTAGTTAAACACACATGTTAAATTACTACTATCATAATCTACCAATTTTTACAAGACCAATTGACCAAGTCTACACAAAAGTGTTTTCACATGTAGTGCGGATACGAGATCATCAATAGATCAAGTGCCATAAAAAATATAAATTATTAACAGACATAGTAGTTTTTGTTCTATCATATCTTTTGAAAGTTGAAGCAACATAGAAAAATCTTGCCTCTGAGATTGCAAAGAACAAACTGGTGCAAAGTAAATGCCGCATTCCAGAAGCTGCTAGAACGCATCTTAAGTCAGTTAACAGGGGTCTTAGATCACGATGATTTCTGCCTCAGCCACATGGCTTTCTGAATATTACATGAAAGTATCAATATCATTTAAGAAAAATGCATATTCAAAAGGAAATAAATGTTCCGTGTGTGTGTGTGTGTGTGTGTATTATATATAACTAAAATAGAATTCACAGTCATCAGAAAAAAATCCCCAATCTGAAACCAATCAATGAATTAAACTAGAAAAAAGGCCCATCATTGCCGCAGTTATCAAAGCAAATGTACCGTTAAAAATTAATACCAAACCAAGTTTTGGCCCCAAAAAAAAAAAATCAAACCAAGTAAATAGCAGCAAAAAGTTTCTTATTTTGAAAACTAACCATTCACTCACAATCAGTGGCCCAACAAGTCTTGCAAGATTCTGAACAGGGACTGAAACATGTCCCGAGTATGAAGTTTAGCCATATCTGATTAATCTTCTGTTGATACGTATGCGGGGAATGTGAGCAATTTTGGGCCAACCTTCAGATTTTTCCCCGTTGCATCTTGGTTCAAGCAACGGGCAATTCCATACATGCAGGGCAGAAAGGGAGGCTGGAAGTTTTTCTGGTACGCACTGAAGTTCTGAACAGTCTCCTATCCCCAATGACTGTAGAGAGGTCAACTTCTGAATCCCATGTCCATTCAACACTTAAAATTCTGGAGTTTACGTATATAAGAGAAGATGGAAGCAACCATTCTTCTGGGAAGGATTCCCCATCTTTGCACGCACCTTTGATGCCAAAGCTTCGAAGAGAAGGGAGTCTTTGCAAATCTCAGTTCTCTCTCTCAGCAAAGAGCTTGTCACAGCGATTGATCTCTAATGAACGTAAACCTTCTGGCAGTCCTTCTGCTGGAAACAGCTCAAGCTCTGGACAGAGAAATATATTCAAAGTCACTAGAGAAGGAAGCAGGTTACTCATCTGATGGGGCAATGACTTTAAATTCTTGCAATTGTCAATGAAGAGATAAGTGAGGTTTAGAGCTGAGAGTCCACCTTCTGGAAAAGAAACAAAATCAGGACAATTACTTATCCTTATGGAGGTGAGAGATGGAAAATGCTGCAAGTGATCCCCTGAAGTTGAAAGAGACTCCAGATTCTGACATCCTTTAAGGTCAAGATGGCTCAGCTTTGGAAAGAAACTTAAAATCAAGGACTTGAGACAACCAAAGCTAAATTTTATGCACAAACGCTCAAGAGTTGAAAAATATTGGTTCATGGGAAGCTCAAAAATCCCACAGTTTGCAACGTTGAGTGACTTCAATGTGTTAGCAAGGCCAATTTGAGGAAGCTGATGAATTACCTGGCAGCTTGTGATGCTTAGCTTTTCAACAGAACAATTCCTGTTGTCTGCAACCCCAAATGGCAACTCAAAAGAATCATATCCACCAATTGAAAAATTCAACAAACGAGGTGGCAGTTCCTTCATTGATACCTTTTTACAGTCTTTCAACTGCAAATCCCAGATTGTTGGGGTAACAGTGGCTACAAGTTGCTCACACTTTGAAATCACCCGTTTGGCTAGAAAAGGGAGTTATTTGGGCAAGCCCTTCAATTTTGGGAAATTTTTTATATAAAGCTGTTGAAGACAAGGAAATGCTCCATCTGCCTTTTCATCTATTACCGTAAAAGGAAGCCATACTTGCCACTGGGTCATGTTCTCAAAGCGCAAAGTTTGAAGGGACCTGAATGGTCTAACTGCATTTCTGCGAGATGGCTCAACTTGGTCAGAAGGAATGTAATAAAAAGAATCACCAATAGAAACTACAAGTGAAAGCCGTGTTAACGAGAGAGCTTTGAAGGACGGCAATTGCCCAATTGGTGGCAAGAGAACACAAGTTGTACAGTCATCAATGCATAGGGATGCTAAATTTAAAAACTGGCATCCACCTAACCAGTCTAGGAACGATGTGCTCCCATAACCTTTCATGGTAAGTTTCCTCAAGGCTTTAGGAGGTTGCAAGTGACGAAGTACACTTCTAACTTCTTCTGAATTATTTGCGGTCCCATTCCATTTCAACACCAATTCATTAAGCTTCTCTTTATCGACCAAATTAGCCATCATGGCATCTTGAGGACTAGCAACATGTTGCAGATTGGAAATAGTGAGCTTTTTTCGAAGAAATTGAAGTTCCTTCAACTCTTTGATGCTCGACCCACATCTATTACCTTGAACAAATACTGTTAATATCTGAAGATTTTTCAATCTACCCATATGCTGTGGCATCTGACTTAATTTTGTTCCACTTATATCCAAACATCTGAGATTGGTTAGCCTTCCCAAATTGAAAGGCAATTCAGTAAGGTACGAACAATTTGTCAGCAGCAAAGTCTGCAAATTGTTCAAAGAACCTACAGAGTCTGGTAACTTGCAGATGGATGTTGAAGAGAGGTCTAAATATCTTAAATGTATCAAGTTACCAATTGCATCTGGAATAACTGTGAAATTGCGGCAGTTAGAGAGGGAAAGTTCCCTCAACCTTGTTAGTTTTGAAAGTAAGCCACTTAAAGCCTCATCATTTAAGCATCTAGACCATGATAACACTTGTGATGGGAGAAAGGTACGCAGATTTTCACATATGGCCATAATATTCTCTAAATCATCGAATTTCACCTTGGAATATGACATGTGACGAGTTTTTTTTTTTTACATGCCATGTGGCTTTACCCCCTCTAATCTGAAGGTGAATTCTCCAGAGACAAATTCGGCCAGGTCACCCATAAGGTCATGAATAAAGAAGCACTTTTTACTTGATTGCTGAAAGAATGACCTAGATGCCAGTTCATTGAAGTATTCTTTACCAACTTCTTCCATTCTCCTTTTTCTATTGGAATGTTGCAGAAGCAGAAAATCTTCCGCCATCCATAAGGGCACTAGTTCCTTCCATTTAAATTGATAGTTCTTTGGAAACATGGAACAATAGGCGAAGCATCGCTTTAGATGTGATGGAAGATGGTGATAGCTTAACATAAGAGCAGGAAGGACATTGCTTCTACCATCTGGAAAATCCCATATATCACATTTCAATACCTTTTCCCATTCACTTTCATCCCTTTTAGAGCGCAAGAGACCCCCTAGCGCTTTAGCTGCCAATGGTAGTCCACTACATTTTTTCACTATATTTCTCCCTATATCTCTCAATTTAGCAAATGTATCCAATTCAATCCCTTCAAATGCATGCTCTGCAACTAACAACCAGCAATCATCATCTGACAATGGTTTTAAATGATAAATTGGAACAGTGAGCATGGTTGATGCAACAATTTCACTTCGTGTTGTGACTATGATCTTACTTCCTTGTGCCCCATATTCAAAAGGACGCCGTAAGGTTTCCCAAACAATATAGTTCTCGTTCCATACATCATCTAAAACAATGAGAAATTTCTTGAGGAACTCCTTGAGCTTGATCTGTTGATGATTAAGATCTAATGCATCACATGTTAGAGGGATTGCCTCTAGAATAGTCCTTGTCATTAGAGACATCAAATTCTTGGGTAACACAAACCCATACTTGGTCAAAATACTCCTTCACCATGTCATCATTGTACACAACTTGAGCAAGGGTGGTCTTCCCAACCCCACCAATCCCCACTATGGGGAGACACAAATCTTATCAGCACCAATCTGAAAGCAACAGCTTGATAATAGACTGTTTATCATAATCTCTTCCATAAATACTAGACTTTCCTGCTAAAGAAGTTGTTTGAAATTTTTTTGAAGGAATACCACTGACACGTTCCCTCAAACCCAGAACATCTTTTTGTTTCATTAAATTTTCTAACTTCTCAATTATCACATTAATCCCATCACTAAACTCACCAAGGGCAGAAGGCGAAAAGCAACTCACCTTTTTATTGATTCCAATCCCTAATTCAGCTTCCATTTTCAGATTTGAAGCTGATATAGTTGTAATGATCTGATCCAAAACGTCCTCGGCTTCAAACATGGCATCTTTAAGATCATTCGCCCATTCGAGGACATGCAAATCTGCAGCCTGCCTCTCTTCTGCGTGATTGACCAGAGCATCGACAGATCGCAATGTCATCTTCAACTTGTCCGGTTGGAGATTAAGGCCATTGCTCTGTTTTACTCCCTTGATGAAGTCTAGCATCTCACGAGAGGCCATCCTGTCGAACAAAGTATCCACAAAAGCAGTGAGAAAAGCCCTGGCCACCAATTCAGCTGCCATGATGGTAAGTTTTTTGACTTTTTCCACCCTCTTTTGCCTTTGCAAATGCAGCAAGTGGAAGAAAACTCAGTTGGAATTTTGCAAAAGAGTAAGGAGAGCACCAAGGCTTTAGAGTCATAGAGGGGTTCAGAACTTTCAGCCGATAAATTATTAAGCTTTCAAATCGTAAGAGTTCTCATTGAAAATTACCTGGTCATTTTCATGCTGGCCAGCCCATGACAAAATTTTAATACAGCAGACAGAGAGAGAGAGAGAGAGAGAGAGAGATTGCCTTTTCTTGCATGGTCAGAAGAGAGAGAGAGATTGCCTTTTCTTGCATGGTCAGAAGAGAGAGAGAGATTGCCTTTGTACAACTACTAAACTATGGAAGTATTCTCTGAAAATTAGGTAAATTATGGCCCTCGAATTACACGATTAGTTTAGTTTCTAGAGCTTGGCAAAACGACCTCAAGCACGTAGACTGATCGGACTTAGTTTTATCTTTTGACTTCAATCAAAAGGAAGACAAAGCAGAGAGAAAACCATGCTTGTTTCGCCATTTTTGTGCTTAAAGCCTTGAAGGTAACGGCAAATATTTATCGTTAAAAATATACTCTTTCTATTAAAAAATTTAAAGTATTTTTTAAAAAAAATTAAATGTTTAAAAATATAAGATATTTTTAATCTTTTAAAGCATAATCATTACCTTTTTTTAAGTTCTCTATTGATAATAACTTTATATTTATTATAAGTATTTAATGTGAATAAATATAAAAGATAAAATTAGTTTAAAAGTAGGTAACTACTTTATTGGAGTGAAATTTAATTAAAAATATTTTATATTTTTTAAGGAAAGGAGTAGTAGATATTATAAAAAAAAAAGAGAGTCTCACTTAAGACCCCAAAAGCACAAAAATTTACAATTGTGGCTCAATACAATTAAATACTCTGTGCATGCCTGAAGGCCCTTTTTTACAACTATTTTTGTGTGTGAAAAGACATTATTGGTGTCGCACCCAATCAGAATTTTCTAAGGAAGAAAATTGAATAAAAATATAAATATTTTAGAGTTGCTATCAAAATTTTAAAGGATAATTTTTGAAAAACTCTTTGATTGTATGGTCTACATTTAGAGAAAATGGTAAAGGAATTGATTGTGCATGGAAAAGGTGTTAGGTACCCTACAATATCCATTCATGTGAATAGTTATCTTAAGTTAACTATATAAATTTAAATGGTCTTAAAAAATATATTAATTATCTTTAATAAAAGAATAAGATAAAAAAGTAATAAAATTAAAAAGGAGAATTTTATTTATATATAAGTTAAACTTAATCTAGGATGAAACCTTAGGGCCTACGTACCTTTTTGAGGGATCAAAATTTACGTAGTTCAGGGTAAAAATGTGTGTCTCTTGGTTGAGATTTTTTTAAAGAAAATATTATTTATTAATTTTTTTATAATAATTTAATGTTGGTTTGTAGTTTTTATTTAATAAAATATTTTATTCCTTTATTTGTGACAAATTTTTGAGGGATAATCTTGTAAAAAATATTTTAATAAGATTTAAGAAAGCTTCATACGTTCACATTTTAAAAAATATTTTATTTTATTTTATTTATTTTTAGAAAAATATTTTTTTCACTTAAGGATAAAATGTTTGAAAATATACTCACGATAATTTATCGTTGCATGGGAAAAGTTATTTGATTTATAAATCTGTGAGGATTTTAAAAATCTCACATAATTAATGATTTTAAAACTTTATACATGCGATAATTTATCACTATATAAGATAAATTAATTAACTTATAAATTTATGTGGACTCTAAAAGTTACGAGCAATCAACGTAATATAAATCATTTTATAAATATATATGTTGAGAATTTATTTACATGTATACCAAATTAATTAATTTAAAACTTTACAAGGACTTTAAAAGTCTCTCATAACAAACAAATTAAGTAAAATCATATAATAAGAAATCAATAAATAGAGATTTGAGATCTAAGTTTTGAAATTGCTTTTCCTAAAATTTCTCATAATGATTCTTGTGATATATACTTCCAAATTCAATTATGATGCCAAGCTTTCCCATATATTATAATCAAATGCCATTATAAAAGTAAAATAAGTTCTCAGCCAAGCATTATATCAAGCTTAAAAAGTGGTAAATGTTGGTAGATGTAGGCATAAACAATGGACTCAAAACTAAGGAGTTAAGATTCAAAACCTATGAGATCGTGCATATGAAGAAAGCAAGAAGATGAATAGAGGATCCAAACCAAATTCAAATCTTAGATTGAAAGATAAGAGGCCAAATAAAATAATAATTACATGAATGATCAAGTTTCATTTAAAAAATAAATTAAGGAAAATAGAGTGTGGAAAAATAAGATATGTAAGCATTTATAAAGTTTAAAAGAGATGAGCTTACCTCTAGTTGCCTTTATCAATTATATCTCTTATTCCACTATTTTCTATCATGCTATTTTCCTCTCATAATTTTTTCTTGAGTCTCTCTCTAATTGTCCAATGCTCTACATTTGCTTTCTTTTACATAGACCCATACACCTAGAGTTTTTTTAATATCTCAATCTTATCGTGATCAATATTAACATTTTATATATTCTTATATTATTTTTTTATTATTTAGAGATTGGATATTAATTGTTCTTTCCTATTATTATATCCTAATTATTATATTATTTTAAAATCTTTAAATATTAATATTAGATATTACAGTATCTTGAAATCTTCAAAATAAGATTAGATTATATTATCTTAAAATCTTTAAATCATAATATTATATTATATTATATTATATTCTGATTATTTTAATTATTATACTGTGATCTAGCTTGATTATATTTTTTTCATTATCTTCATACCCAACTTTTTTTTATATTTTGTTATAAAATATTTTTTATTTTCATTCTTATTATTTTTTCTTTTTTTATTTTATTATAAATATTATCTTATTTATTTATTAAGGCTTGAATAAAATATGATGTTTATAATTGACCTTATGGAAAAAGAAATAAATGAATTGGGAGTGGGAGAAGACAAACATGGGAAGAGTGATCTCAACTCCCCCGCTCCACGAATTGAAAGTTTCTCAGCTACGGTGGTGAGCATTTCTATGCTTCGTAGCCCTGTGTGTCATTTAACTTCCAAAAGGCTCAATCCTCTTGGAAAAAAAGAAGATATAAGTAATTGTGAAAAAAAATAAATAATTAATTGTTAGTCTATATGACCATAAATTAATAATATTATAATTATAAATTATAATAATATATAATTATCAAAGAATAAACTTAAAAGTATCTACATGTATATTTATATGCTTTAATTGTTAATATCCTCTTAAAAATTGTTCAGATTATATTATATACATGTAAAGGGTCCAACAATAAAGTTGGTTTTAAGTAGTATTTTTTTTAAAAAAAAATTAAGTCTTTTTTTTTATATTATGTTTAGAATAGTTGGTTTTGTGATTAAAATTAAGTTATTATTGATTCCAATCGTTAGTCCAACCGTTTGGTTTGGTACAAATTTTAAAGCAATCAAATCGACAAGTAAGCATCTAATTTATTATGGTGAAGATTATAATTTCTTTTCAAGTAACGAATAGACATTTAACATATGAACATAAATTTCAAATAATATTTATTTATGACTTTTTATTTTGTCATACAATATGTGGACAATGGAAATTGTACAGTTAGAAGTTCTGAATAAATCACCACTCTGAAATATTTTGTGGAAAGTCTAATTGCCAATGAAAACGATCCTACTAACCTAAATGACTTAAAAAGAACGATGCAGAAAATCCTAAAAGTGGTTCATGAAAATGAGCAAAAATCCATTAAGAATAACTTATAATATCAAAATTTCTTAATGACTCCCACTTACATGGCTCGGTCAGAAAGTAAGATCATAATGGAATATGAAATGAATATTGGATAACTTGTAATAAATTTTTTATCTTAAAATTTGTTTTAATTTTCGAAATAGATTTCTAAAATTTAATTTTCATTAAATTATTAAAATTTCATAATCATGTTGTCATGATTTTGAAGGAAAATAATATCATAAAAATAATTATGTATGGGCTATATAGTTATGAATTTTAGAGATTTAATTGATAAAAATTAAAGTTATAAACAAAGCAAAAAATCAATTAAATTATTTTATGTTGTTGTAGACATGCAATTTTAGAAGTTTAATTAATGTTTACAAATTTCAAATTGCTTCTTTTGCGTGTCTTACTTGAATCTAGCTAATGAGTTCTCTAGCACTAGGCACCTTTCTTTTCTGGCTTAGCTGGCCCGTTTGATGAGGGGAAAAAAAAGAGTTCTCTGTTTTCCATAAAAAAAAAAATTATTGAATTTGTCAAATTTTATCCACCTAACTTTTTTCTTATGCCTGATAATCATTTTAATAATTTTTCTCAATGAATATAGGATATAAAGTAGTTGAATAATGAGTATATATAGTATAAAGAAAAAAATTGATAATTTTCAATAATTATGAAAAATATTTTATAAAAAAATATTAAATATTCATATGAATATGTGATAGTGTGATATTACTTATATTAAGTATTAAAAATTATTCATTCCTGATGCTTATATATTAGATAAGAATATAATATAATTTTCGCCTTTCTTTGGCAAACATAATTTTGGCTTTTTATTCATATCCAAATGACCAAATCCAAATTTTAATTTTGTATTTATGATTTTGTTTTAGGCCGAGCGGCCTGGTTCGAGAACATACCTTATTGGAAGTCGGAGTTTTCCCACAGCAGCGAGGCCTGTAGTCTTGACTCCTGAACCGAAATATCATCCTTGTCCTTCGTCATTATTCTACTTCAGGTGAGTTTCCGGTGTTATTTTCTGCAGTCGTGCGGCCATATTCTGTTATCTCTGTTTTTCCCCCTTCGTGCTCGATTGCTTGTTTATTCCCTTTACGGAGTTGGATTCCCCACCCCCCCCCCCTTATTGGTGCATTTGATATGTTTCTATGATTTATTCTGTTAAAGGTCCCACAACGGAATTTTGTGCTTGCCCTTAGAAATCTACCATGAAATTTTGTGAATGTATAAGGTTATGCTTGCAAGTTGAGGGGGGAAAAGGAAGGGAAGGAATCCAACGAAAAGAAAATGGAAAGGAAGAGAACGAAGGGGAAGTGATGGTAAATGATAAGCCTAAACAAACGATGGCTATGGAGGATTTTTGGAAGATTAGTTGAGCATTTTTTTCATTATTCTTATATTTCTTATTATTAACTTAAATTCTTCCATTCCCTTCCCTTTAACTCCATTGTTCCTCCATTTAAAATTGTACACTCTGGTAGAAGTTGGTTACCCTGTTTGTAAGAAAGCCCCAAGGACTGAGTTTAGAAAGGAAAATATTTTATCTGTTAGCGAGGTATTACTTGGTGGCTGGTGCATCTTCATTTCTCGAGAATAGAGCGTATGAACGTACCAGCAAGTAAGCTGTGGTTTCTGATTTGGAACCCCCCTAAAAGGAGAAGTAAATTCAATTGGGTAAATGACATTTTTTTAATGTTGATAGTGATTGGGTTGATCGCCAATGCCATCCAAGTATTGAGACTTCAATGAATCAGTGGTAACTTGATAAATTTTAGAGTTAAGGCTACCGACATCCATGTCTCCTCTGTTTGGAACTTCTCGCTGTCTTTCCCTTCCCCCCTTCTTCAGCTTGTCTTGGGAAAGCCAACACATACTGGAAGAATCATGTTCTAATGACTTTCTCCTTCTAGTGTATCATTAATATTTACTTGTAACCCTGTCAATTGAGCAAATATTGCAAATAAGACGCATGCAACAATCATTTATTAGTTTATTCAGATACTTTTTTTTTTCCTTTTTAATATTATGGGAGTGCAGAAAATAAATGGATATTATCTACATTGGAATCTTTGGCTGACTGGGGTTGGTTGAAAGAGCTATTTTTGGGCTATTGTTGTCTTATCTTTGCATCCTTCGCTTAGTTATGATATAACAATAAACGCTTGTGTTTCACTTTCTGTTTCAGAGGAATTCTATAGTTTTAAATTATGCTTATTAAAATGTCAGATTATCATGCCTCCATTAAATTTTCTTGTAGAGTCATGTGGGAAGTCCTATATCAGGGATGTGACTTATATTCTTAATGGCTCGTGCTTGTTTATGGATAAGGGGACTTTACTCCTTTTTTTATTTTTATTTTCTTGGGGGGGGGGTTTGGTGGGGGAGATCATTCTGTTGTCACCAGAACTTATTCCATTTTCATCTAATTTGTTTAGCTAGTATTTATCCTAATTGTTTACTTGGCCATTCCATTTATTTGTCAGGTTGGATCACTGTATACATGGGATCTTCATTAGAAGATGAATATGCTGCATTCAGAGAGAAGGTCAAACGAACAGTGTACCTTGACAACCTGTCACCTCAGGTCACTGAATCTGTGTTGAGAACAGCTCTTGATCAGTTTGCAACTGTCAAAAATGTCAAGCTCATTCCCAACTACCTTGAGCCAAGGAATGTGCCACAGTGTGCATTAGTAGAATTGGATTCTGCTAAGAAGGCCAAGGAAGTTATAACAATGATTGTGCAATATCCTTTCATGATATCTGGGATGCCAAGGCCTGTAAGGGCATTCCCTGCAAAAGCAGAAATGTTTGATGATCGCCCTAAAGATCCTCGTAGAAAGTTAACCTGTCGTTGGTTGGAGCCAGGTGATCCTGACTTTGAGGTGGCAGAGGAACTGAAGCAGCTTACACGCAAACATGCTGACGAAGCTGCTTACTTGCACCAAGTAAGTTTTCCCTGTCATACTTATTATGTATTTATCTTAGTAATCAATTGAACTTAAGTCACTACTATTATTATTATTATTTCAGTTTCAAAATACGAGACAGTGAAAATTCAGGGATGGTTAACCATGGCTAGCCTCAAGAAAACAGAATACCAAAATAGTATTTAATTTTCACCCTGTAGATGTCTAACCTTCGCATTTTCACAGAATACGAAAGCAGAATACCATAGTTAACTATGGCCTTCCCCATTTGTACTAACAGAGGTTGGATAGGATTCTTCTAAATTACTTAACCGCCCCTAAGTTCCTAACAACTCCCTAATTATCTCCTAATTCCCATGTAACAGGTGGAGAGAATATTTTAACATCAAAGAGGTGACTGCAAACTTGTTGCATGTGTTCTTTGATAATTTGCTAAAAGGAATAACTGCTTTACTTGTTTGATTACTTGGCATATTGTTTTAACCCTGCAGAATCATAATACCACTGCGCAAAACAAGACAACAGATAATTTTTTTGTGCAACTTCGTTATCATTATATTTTCTTTTAACATTTAGTATTCACTTTAGCTGCTTTGCTTTTTTGGGTTGGATATTGGGGTTCAGTGAAAGATACTTTTTCTTCTAAATCATATGATGCCAAGGCGCTATTTCTTCTCTTTCAATGAGGAGTATGACCGAAAAGAGCATGCATGTCCCAGAGAAGTTTGTTTTTAGAATGTGACAAATAGAGAAATATGTCCAAAGATAAATAACATGTTACATCGGTCATCTTTCTTAATTGAAAATATGTCGATTTGGAAGACCGTCTTATCTTTCTGGATTATAGCTTTTTTAAGATTGTCAATAGGTTTGATATACTCTTAGGGGTTAGCTTATTCTAAAACGTGTTCCTTTCTGTAGTTACAACTACAAGAAGAGGAAAAGCTTTCAATGCACCAGGAAGACACACTTAAAGGGCATTATAAGAAGTACAAGATGATAGAGAGCATTATGGACGGAACTGCCCAACGTCTGGCCCGTCAGTATGATATGCGTGTTAACAATGAGTGAAAGCTTTATTTGGACTAACAATACATGTGAGTAAGATCTTCTTTATTGTTTAAGTTATTTTCTTCCAAAGCTATATTGTCCCCTCCAGTTATCATGAATAATTTATGCTAGGAACGTCTTTGTATGGGCATATGATCCATGTCAAAGAACAATTTTTAGTCTATTCTTTCCTTTTATATTAAGAGGAGCGTGATGGTGGATATTTAATTATTTATGTTGTATTGATATTTGTCATCATTACTTAACATTGTTATCCGTGCTTTAAAGCCTTATAACTTTATTGCCTTGAAAATTGGGATTACATTTATTATAAGCTCATGGAGAAAACTCTGGCGGTGTTGTCTTGTGCGCCTGTTTGTAATGCCCAAGACTCAAGAAAGAGAGGATGAGGATGCAATGTAATAAACTCTATGACAAACAATATTATTTGTAATTCGGATGGATATCTACAGTATTTTTGGGACTCAGCGGCTAAAGTTAGATGGATGATATTTAAGCCCCCAAAAAAAAAATTATGGCTATTGAGTTAAAATTTTTGCTGTAGGACGAATTGCAAATAGTCAAATAACAATTTAGTTGCAAATGTGACTCTTAGTTATGAATCAGACATTTAATTGTTTTTTGGGTAAATGACATTTAATTTTTATATGTTACTCAGTAATTTGCAGCTATCTAATTGATATTTGCAACTCATGTTTTAAAAAATTTATTGGGAAGTAATTGTTATTAAATTGAAGTTTTGGGATTTAATTATCATTTTCTCTAAACCATTGGCGGGACCGTGGGTCAGAAAGTGCTATATATTTTTCAAAATTTAAAATTAAAGTGTAATAATTTTAAATTAAAATTACGTATTTCATAATTTTTCTCTATTTGATTTTTTTTCTTGTGTAATAAATATATAATGATTTTATCGTCGAGGGTATTAAAAGTATTTCCTTAAGCATAACTGCTAAACTGGTGGTAAAAAAATAAAAAGGCCCATTTGTCCCGATTTTTAGAACAAAAAATATAGTTTTTTTTTAACCATTGCAATGATAGCAAGTAAATTCATTGTTAACTTTCGAAAAAAGAAAACTAAGAGATAAATATGTATTTTAGATTAAATATTGTTATGCATATCAACATTAAAAGTCTAAAATTGATTATTAAATATTATTGAATTAGTTAAAATGTACATTAAAAGTGATCTAAATTTATAGGGGTGTAAAATCTTATGACTAGAAGGAGCAAAATGTAAAAGTTTATATTACTTTCATATAATTTTCTCCAAAATGAGGGATTGTATGTACACCCTTTTAAATATATTCTTTCAATTTTATTTATAATTATAAGATATTTTTTAAAAGTAATTTTTAATTTAGAATATAAAACACTTCATGATAATTAGATCATTTTTTAATTTTATCTCTTTTTAATTAGCGTGAAAGTATTTAATGTAATTATATTATAATTTAAAATTAAGATTAAAAATAAAATTATATCTAATAATTTTTTTAAATACATAAAATGATTAAAAATATTTTATAATAAAAATTAGAGGGAGTACGCAGCTATGCCACTGCCCCAAACTCTTCCAGTGATTGGAAGAATTTGAATGACGTAGTTGGAGGCGTGTTAATGTATAATATATGTGATGGTCATCTTGTTACATCAATTTTTCATTCCATGATGTTGGTCATGTATCAACTCTCGTCTCGTCTCTTGCCAAGCATCATCTTACGCGTGTTGACTTTCGTTATCATAGTTCCCAGAAATTTAGGGGGAAAATAGTATCACAAATTTATTTATTTTTATTTTGGTCAATAGTACAATTAAAGTAGTCATTTTTTAATGGATAACGGTCACTAATTTTTAGTATTTATACTTTACTAATAAACAAATTTATAGAAATTAGTATTTCTATTTTGGTTTTGTCAATGGTCTAATTAAATTAGTCATTTTTACAAATAGGATTAGATCTAATGGAAAGAATTAGTTTTTCAAAACATGATGAATTAATGTTTAAACTTTTATTGAGAGAAATATCTATATTTAGTGATTAAGTGTGTGTCAAATATAATTGTCTTTCATAAGAGGATACTTATTAGTAATAAAAAAAATACTATTCAATGCATGATGGTCTGTAAGAACAAATATATCATATTTTGTTAAAAATGAAAATGCTAGACAAGTTCTTAAGGGCTAAATAATGATTATCATATTTTGTAATATTTAATTGTCATTTGCATATTTTAAGAATTTTTTTTGTTATTCTCAATAAGTTTTGAATAATATAATTAATAAAATATATAATCAAATTATTAAAATAAAATATACAAAAAAAATATTTAAATTTATTTTTACATAAAAATACATTTTTAAAATATTGATTTTTTTAATTTTTATAAATGAGTATTGTAATAGTAAATGATAATTAACTTAATTATTAAAATAACAACAATAAAAACTAATCTCCTACTGTCAATTAAAGCCATAGCTAAAAAACTATAAAAGCAAAAAAAGAAAATGTTATGACTTACGCCTTATAGTCTTATTTATAAGGTAAATAGAATTTTTTATCTTATTTATAAGTTATATTATTAAATTTTTATGATAAATTTTTTCTTTTATCCTTCATTAAATGTTGGAGAGAAAAAATATGTTATTAAATTATGTATATTTAATAGTGATAAAGTTGAGAGCTTATTAAATTTTTAAACAAAGTTAATAAATTTTAAATTTTTTTATTTAAATAAGTACTTTATAACTAAGCCAAAGGAGTACAATCCTATGCCTTTGCTTGGTAACAGTACTTCTGAAAAGTCAAAGTGTTGACGCAGCAGAGCAAATATGAGTTTGTGCGCTTGTGAAATAATTTCTTTCTTTCTTTCTTTCTTTTTAATAAAAAAACATTCTTCTGGGAAGAGAGTGAAGATTTTTTTCTTTCTTTCTTTTTTTTACAGGTAACATAGCTTTCACCGACGAGGATTCGATTCTGGTAAGGAATAAAGATAAGATCGAATAGTAAACTTAAAATGGTTTATAACCCATTTTCAGTTTTTTCATGCAATAGTGAACTCGCAAACCCGCTGGAGAACTCACGATTTCACAGCTAATTGCGATCTTGAGCAATTCTCCTGCAAGTTTGCAGATTACCGTTTTTAAGTAAGTGTTAACCATAAATGATAATATTGTAAAGTCATACGATTTTACGTGTCAAAACTTATAAGCAAGTCTAGTACAAGATATTCTGAGGGGGGAAGCTTTTAAGGAACTACGCAGTATCTTCAATATGTTAAAAGTCTTGCCCTTCTAATATTATCCAAGTCAAGTGCATTTGCCTCCCTTAGAGATGAATTGAAAGATAACTTAGTTGAAAAACATGAAAAGAGAAATGAATTCCAAGGTTTGCATGAATCTGTGCATTCTCTGTCCACAACTGATGCTCTTACATTGTTTAATGAAGATGTCAAGGTGAAAGAAGTTTCAGATCCAAGTGAACATGTAGAGGTCATCCAGGGGAGAAAAAAAAGAAAAAAAAAAGCGGATTTGAAGCTAACGTCAGATTATGCCCTCGTCTGGGAGACTGGGAAGTCACCTTGGACAACTTAAATCTCTGATCGTAAATGAGCGCAAGGCTAGAATCAGGACATATGTTATTTTACTCTTTCAATGGCCCCAACTCCAGATATGACAAGTTAAAGGCAGAAACAGAGGACAGCATTTTGAGAGAGTATAGTTAAAGTGCTGTTCCTATCAGTCATGCCCATTAACACTACAGTGGCATGTGTGATGCAAATAACGTGAAAGCTTTAGAATGAGTTTTGATTTTCAATCAAACGGTCACCAATTCGTTATCTGTTGAAGCTCTTTTGTCTTTTTGTTTTAGAAAAGTGTTGCTCAAAGCTTTTCTTTTTGCTATAAAATTGCAGATAACTGTCAGAAATTGGTTATCTTCTGGCTGTCTTGATACTCTGTCTTTTGCTGATCATAAAGATGGCACTTGAAGTATCTTAACTTTTCATCTTGACTTGCATTCCAATCGGTTAACAGATTCCATAACTTTTCATCTTAATGGTTACAAAGGGAATGCAATAGAAGAATGACGAAATGTATCTGTCTTTACCTCAGAAACGCCCATCGGTTTCAAGCTTGGATATTTCTTGCATGGGAAGAGGCTGAACCTTTTTTCGTATGGGTTTGTATTTTGGGTGTTGGCATTACTGTTTCAAAAGCTTCAACCAGCAGTGCAACTTTACTTTTCCTCACTGGAGCAAGTTCGGTGACTGCTTGCCTAAGTGCATGATCAAGCATCCATTGTTCCGCACTTTTTCTTTCATCCATCATCTTATGTTTGAGATTAACCTTTTCTCTTTCTGTATTTGGGATCAAAGGAAAAAAGTCTGGTTTTTGTTGGTTGAACTTCCTCATTTGCTCATCATCCTTGACAGGTATCTCATGCTTCATTTCTCCTCTCCAGTTCCTGCTTGCTTTCTTCTCTTCACTACCTGAGCTGCTTGTGCCCTGGAACTTATTACCTTTACCTTTCAATAGAATTTGTGTCACTTGGCTAATGCTTCCATCATCAGTCTCTGGACATGAGTCTCTGCCTTCATTGGTCTCATCAATCTTGTGTATCTCATGACCTTGACTTCCATAACCATTACTTTCAACTTGTTGTTTGGCAAAGTCTTGATACATTTCTGTATTCTCCATCTCCAGATTCCTGCTACCTCTATCTGTTGCCCTTTCAACCTGATTTGGTTTACATAGTTCTTCAGAAGCGTTATAGATTTGGTCACCCAGTGACATAGGTGTACCATCTTTCAGAAACATTTGCTTCTGTCCAACACTAAGTACATTTGTGACCCAATTGACATCATTATCCAGAGTTGGTTCATTTTTTCCACCATTGTCTTTTGCTTTTGTCAAATTCTGAAACACTTCCTCTGTTAGAGAAGAACATTGGAACTCTGTACTTTCAGATGTGGCTTCCAGGTGTAAAATGGTGCCCTGAGGTTTTTCTTCAAAACAAGAACATTCTTGTATATTGGTTTCTTGGGGTGTTTCTTCAACAAAGTATCTTATCTCTTCGAGCTTTGAGGTGCTAAGAATTTTTTCTGACTTTACAGATGCCTCAAGTAAACTCTCTGATAAAGACTCAAACTTTAACTCAGTTTCCTCTTCTATCAAGGCAGCTGAAACAAAACTCTCTTCAAGCTTTGAGGTGAAAAATTGTTTCTCCTTCCACTCTGTATCAGTAGCTTCAAAAACACAACCATCCATTTCATTGCTGCCCAACGGTTCCCAATCATTAAACCTAGTCTCTCTGCAGCAGATTTCCTTACCTGTATCTTCATGAGAACAGCTAGGTGGGTGGTTTTCATTTGCAGATTCTTCATTTTGCTCTTGAAGAAAGCTTTGTATGGTATCTACCTTAGTTACAGTATCACCATAGTATTTCTGGAATTCTTCCTCGAAATCTGACATATTTGTGGTAACCTGCTTGATATAATCCTCTCTTGCAGCCAAGCTATTCTCCTCAATCATAAACTTGATAACTTCTTGATCCTGAAGCTCTTCAGAAGATTCTAGTTTTCTTGTTTCATGTCCATGAGCTGTTGCTGTTGGTTTTGCTTTATGATCTTTTACATTAGCATATATTTCAATAAAACCTACTTCTGCATCATCACATGCAGAATTGTCATTGATAACAATCTGCTCAATATCAGAAACTTTTGTTTTAAAGGGCAACTTCAGTCTTTGAAGTCTTGGTTCTTCCTGCTTCATGGTCTTCAGGGCCTTGAAAATTCTTCTCCTTTCCGACAAGAAGCTCTTCAGCGGAGGCAAAGGAGTACAATGATGACCATTAAGAGAGCAAAATGTATATCGGCAAACCTTAACTGAAGTTCTCTCTGACTCAGTAACCTGAGGATTAGGCATGAGGCATTTAGGAGACAGAGTTCTTCAAAGTTGAAAGACAGGTTGTTCTCTGTGCTTTCATATCTGCATGCAGAGCTATACCGGAGGATTTTCTTGAGGACTTGAAACTTGGATTCTGTGTTAAAGTGTTTAGTAACTTCAAACTTGATGGTCTTGTCAAAGTTTTTGCAGGTTGCTTGCCAGGAAAAAGGCTGGCTTTCCGATTATCAGAAAACTTTGGCTGTTGATTCTTATCATCATAATCAGATTGAGCATTTGGAAGGCTTGCTGGGGAAAGCTCCTTCTTTGCACCTGAGCTGCTGGTGGGCTTCATGCAATGGGGTGACCTATCTGTTCTCATCAATGGTTGCTGCTTCTGTGGGGATTTGGCAGTTACTGTAACATGAGAAGGTGATGACTTTCTGGATTTAGAAAAGCTTCGTCTTGAAGGTGATGATCGGAAAGCTTCTAAATCAGAAAGCTGAATTGATCTTGGCTTATTCATATCCGCTCCACTGGCTATGCCATCTTGGTGTGCCAAGCTCTTATCGAATTCAACATTATCAGCGTGGATTAAGACCTTGCTCGGCACCTTTCTCTGCATCATATTCACGACAGGCCCACAAGATGAACAAGTGAAGAGCTGGAATCAAAACTTTTCCCCCTTTACTTTGGATTTCAAGCAAAGGAAGAATTGAAAAGATTTTGTGCTTGACTTTTCTCATCTGAAAGACTGCATGGAAAGAAGAGGAGGAAAACTTGAAACCCAAGAAACCAGAAAGATTCCCCGCTCTTGATTTGGATGATCTGTTGGTTTGCAGTAGGTTCTCATTTTGTTTGTTTTAAACTGTTTGTCTGCCCTGCTGATGATGAAATTTAAACAAGGCTTGGCGAAGTTTGATGCTGATTCTTAATATTAACAAGGAATATTATTTGATAGACTTAACTTTATAAAATATGATGAGATTAGGGGAAAATATAACTTTTGGTTTGTGGACTTTTTTCCAATTATGGATCCAGGCCTGACTTTGACTTGAAACAGTTCAAATTTGATAGTTTTTTGACTCGATGCATCCTTAATTTAATAAAATACAAAAATTGAATTGTATTAGGTTAAAATTTAGGGATTAAATCAATAATTAAAAGAAAATTTGGGGATTAAAAATTATATCATCTCTTAAATTAATCATAAACAGATATGTTAACATTATTAAATGCAAGTTTCATTAAAACATCCTACTTCCATCTTAAATTATAAGACACTTTCAAAAAAAATTTGATATTCCAAAATATAATACACTTTGAGAAGATTAATATTTTATTAAACAGAGTTATTTCAAAATTACCCTTTCTTTATGTAATTTTCATCATTCTCTTTTTTTAATATACTAAATGAAAAATATTTTAAAAAATTTTTATTTTTATTTTTAAAAAATAAAATTATTAAATATATTTAATGAAATTTATTGATATAAAAAAATTAATGCAAAAGTGTTTTATACCGTAGTACAGAGGAGATATGGTGGTTTGATATATTAATTTCTGGTTACCTGAATCTACTAAAGTGGTGTTGATGTTAGCGTTTGGGCAATTTTTGGTAGAATATATTATTCTCAATAGACATGTTTATATTTAAAAACATTAAATTAGTGCTGATTTGATTCCCCAGCTCATCCATCATCAAATAATAAATATTATCAGCCTCCTCATGATTTGGATTGGAGAGCACGTTGTGGCAATTTGTAGGCGCTTGGATTGGTATGGATTTGATTTATTGGTGATTGGGATTTTGATGACACCCCAATCAATTAGAATTTTTATATTGTCTCAATTCATAACATATATATTTTTTAAATTAAGCATATCAATAAAATTTATTAAATATATTTTATGATTTTATTTTTTAAAACACAAATATAAATATTTAAAAATATCGTTCATTTAATATGATTTTATTTATGAAACATTAAATGAAGAGAACAAATATGAAGAGGAGGGAATGATAATATTAAAACAAGTGTAATTAATAAAATTTTACTTTTGTTAAAATATTTTATATTTGAAGACACTGAATTATTTTTAAAATTGTCTTGTAAACCAGGACAAAAAGAGTATATAAATTGATAAGGGTGAATTTTTTTTAACAAAAAATTAATTATTAAGAGAGAAGTTAAACAAGTCCAACATGTTGAACAGAACAAAATATTGTCAATAACTAGTTATCTTAATAGTAGCATTACTTCCTCCTTTTTTTTTTTTTTTTCCCGAAGAGATCTTGAGTTCATACCTAATGTTAACATATTTATGTGCATGAGTGGGTTTGTAAGTCTCCCTTTTCTATGAGAACTGATTATATTAGGGGGGGAAATAAAAAAAAAAACACACACACACAAAGAACTAAACATTTAATATCACTGAAAGTAAAGCTAGAAATGTTACGCTGTTAGGCTCTATCAACTCTTATCAACACAATCTAGTTAGTTCAAGAAAATAGTCTCAACTGTTTTTTCTTTCTCTTCAATTCCTGGGTAATGGTCTCAAAGAGAGAAGAAAGGATCCTGAGAGAATAGCAGTTGAATGATCATATTAGGTTAATGAATATGCATAAAGGATTCCAATTAGTTAATGGCTGGGATTGTTTGCCTTTTAGTTTGGAAAATAGTAGGTGGTGGTTAGGAGATAGTGGTTAGCACATGTATAATTATATATATAGAACTAATATAATTTTGGCACCACTGCAAAAGAAAAGGGATACAAATCCTCAGGATTTTAATTTGAGACTCAAGAATAAACTAACTTAATTGCCTCAACAATTAAATAAATTGTCTGTGAGTTCATAATAACATATTATTGGCACACTAATTGAGCAATTCATGAACTACAAAACGTCTTCTATTGCGATATGCTATGGACGGGACATTCAGGTGGAACAGTTGGTGCCTAATGTTGTGCTAGATCATAAAGAATTGTGGAACATTTACTTTAAAATTTGTATCTCCCTTCATATCAACATCAATGAGAAAAAGGGCAATACTGTTCTTAGTTTAATTTTGGAACTGTAGGTCCGACTGAGTCCTGTAAATCCAGTAGATGATATCATTTATTAAAATTTTAAAAATTAAATCAAACCAATCATTTTAACCAATCAAATCAAAAACCAACCATTAATCCGATTCAATCAACCCTTTTAAACCAATAAACCAATCATTATAGAATTGATCAACAACCAATAAAACCGATCAAAAATTGAAAAATCAAATAAAAACCAAACCTGTACCTTCAAAAAACCAGACCACATAAAAAAAATTAAAAAAAAACAGAATTTTCAAACTAAAATACTAAAAGCTTTGGGCCATGAGCTGTAATGTTTGCAATAATGCAACTCAGCCCCTTGTCTGTCAGTGTGTGCGCTCCACTCTTTTTTATAATCACGCACGCCTCTTCGCCCTTTTCACGTAGGCGATGTGGGGCTCAAACAAATACTGTGCACTTACACATTTTTTTTTAAATTTTTACACTTTCTATTATTTATGTATATTTTTTTGTTTAAACTTGATCTTCTTAATTTAGCTTAAACATATTTTCAAAAAATATCAAATATTTATCATTCTATCAACATCTTTCTTAATTTTTAAATAAAAAGCTTTATTTATAATTAATATTAATCATGTATTCATCAATAGTAAATTATATTACAAAGCATTTATGATATATTTTTTAAAAAAAGACATATTTAAATGCATTTTTTATTTAATCATGATATATAAATTAAAAATATATTAATTTAATATCAATTGGTTTAAATACGGTTCGACCATGGTTGAATCAATGAACTGTAAACCAGTTCCTAGTCCGGTTCAACGATCGGTTCAATTTTTAAAACCTTGCTGTTTATTAAGGAGAATAAGTAGTAGTTATAATAGTAATAACAATGGACGTACATAGCATAAAGACCAGTCGTAAATTGTAGGCTGCTGCAAAATTAGGAATAAGAAAATACAGAAGATGCAAGTTCTTGCTTATTCTTTCAATGATTGCTGTAATCTGTAATAATGATAATGATAATTAGTAGGAAACTTTGAAGCAAAACTATATTACAAAGCAATAGGGAAATCTAGTGAAGAGAGATGGAAGATAGGGGGTTGAGACTAGCTTGAATTTCCTCCCTCCCTCGCTCCCTCTACTAGATTTTCGTTCTAAACACCAGTGATAGTTTAGATTTGGGTGAGATTTAAGTGGCGATTTACATTGGGTATAGAGAAACAAAAACACACAGGTGGGATCCACTTCTACTCTTCGAGCTTGAAACAAGTGAGTCATGCTTCTCTCTCTTTCAACATCAATATAGCCATTTTGTGAATCTAAGAGATTCGGATTTGAGATATTGTTAGACACATGAGAAAAATAATCATATCCATTAAATCCTACCATTATAGCACTAATATAAAACAAAATATACAAACCAATATATTTCCTTCAATCTCATTTATAAGTCATATTTTAAAAAATTTATTTAATTTTATTTATAAGTTACAGTGCAGTTTTTTAAGTAATAGTTAAAAAGTATTTTTAAAATTATTTTTTACTAGAAAAAAAAGTAACATGGCATCACTTTTTAAATTTGTTATATAGGGACATATTTAAAATTTCACATACTTTTATTTTTTATATTTTTTTATATTAATATTGATGAGGTTGGTATAAAGGATTTCATTAAATCATACCATCATAGCATTAATGATGTAATGACCCAAAATAATTAAATATTCTTTAAATAAACAATAAACAATTAATTAACCTAGTAAGTAAAAAAAAATACATTAAAACAAAATGTATAGGAATAAAAAATTAATAATGTTTCGAGAATGATCAATGAAACAGTTAATTGGTTAGCGAAACATGGGTCAGGGGCTTTGCTTGGCTTCCACTAGCAGATTCTTGAAGAACTTGCAAACATTTTGGATAAGGATTGTAATAATACCACTGGTTATATGGATTAGTTGGTTTTTTGGTTTCGTTTTGTTATTAAAAAAATAATAATAATAAGATTTCTTATTTCATATTTACATTTAAAATTATAGACTAAAAGAAAAAGAAAATAAAGAGAAGAGAATTTCTAATATATTGGAGAATGTATCTTATAACTTTCATTCAGTCTTGAGTTTAAATCTTAGTCTGGCCTGTTAATGTGTCCTATAACTCTAGTTTTATGTCAATGCAAAATGAATGAATGAATGAATGAATGAATGAATGAAGTAAAAAACAAAACAAAACAACACCGTCCCATCCTCTCTAAATCATCGGCAACTATTTATGGGAGAGGGAATTGGAAAAAAAAAAGGTAAATTCACGCCACCTTCCTCTGCCTCTCTCGAATCTTCTACTTCCTTCTCCCACACGATTCCTCTGGTCTTTTTGTGTCCGTTGCTGTGGTGTGTGTGAGTTTGATCTTCAGCTTTTCTTTCTCTCCCTCAATCGTCCATTGTCATGTGTGCTGTGTGTGGGATTAAGTTTTCTTCTCTTCCCCTGCTGCTGAACGTCTAAAACAGGGAAGGTTTGAAGCATTTGCCCATCGAAAAGTTTGAAGGAAAAGGAGCTAAAATAGATAGGTACTTTTATAATATTTTGCAGTTGCTTCTTTGTTGAATGATTGAGAACTAAAATCTGTATTTTTCCTTCTCTTTCTAAGTTGCAACAAGATAATAAATTGGGTGTGATTGGAAGTTATTGTGAAATCTCGTTGATGAATAAAAGTTGAATGGGTATTGTGGGCTATGAAACATGTTTTATTTGTTGGTTGTTGACGCATGTTAGGTATCTGATGAGAAGTGCAAAAGGGATTGTAACTAAAAATGAATAGTTAAATAGTAGAGGAGAATATTGGCTAGATTATAATATGAGTCATCTAATATTCGTGTTTGTGTAAAAGAAAAATGATAAATATCACTCATAAAGGTTTTACATGAACTTGTGATTTAGAGTCAATGAAAAGAAGCATTTTGAATGTATTATGAGATGGATGCAAATGTAAAATAAACACTTGCAGATGTTTTAATGGTTAGGAGATATTTTTCTTTAAGTTGATTGCTAAGCACAAAAAAACAAGGTTATTCAATATCTTTTACAAAAGGAGAGAATTACAAGCTAAATGAATGAAGTAGTAGTTGTAAATTAGCTAGGGATTGGATTTGTGGAAAATGATTTTCCCATTCTTATGTGATCTTCTTTGATGCTAGAAAGTTGTTGGGAGGCATACCTATTCTAAAGCTTGCTTTTATGAGTAGATGTATGAATTTGCTTGAAAGAAACTAAAATTTTTATGGAAGCTGGTATTTATTTATAATAGTCGCAAGGTGACTCTATTATGGCTAAGAATGAAGAAAAGTTATAACAGGGTTGATAATAAAGGAAGAAGATTGGGTTAAAATTTAACAATGATTTTTTTTTCTTTTTGGGTGCTTAGGTAGCCATTACGGTGATTTTTTGTGAGGTTTGTTAAAGGGCAAAGTATATTTATTTGGGAATGTCTCAGGTGAGTAAATAACGTTCCCCAATAAATAGAAGTGATAGTCTTGCTCTTATTTTATTTTTCATTTATTCTAAATAAATTTTCCTACTACCTTTATAATTAAGTTGATTTAACGTATATAAATATCTTATTTATTCTTTAAATTTATTTATGCAACTATTTTCATGGTATTTTATTTTTCTCAAAGTATTATACATGCATGGATTGGATAAATTACTGATGAAAATATTATTTGTACTTTACAAATTAAAGGACAATTTGAATTGTAAGTATTTTAGATTCCATGCATGTCGGAAATGTTTTATAGGACTAAATATAGAACACTGGTTGCTAACAACAGTTTCGTTAGCCCTTGACGCATCATGATACATCTAGCTAGCAGAGTGCATTAGAGGTGTTAGCTTCATGTGTCGGCCAACACACGTGGAATGTAAGATATAGTTTTGTGGATATAATCCATGCCTGTTATTTGTGAGCTTTATGCTTGATCTTACTTTTTGTGGCTTATTGCCATGTCAAATAAGTTATTTACCCTCGTAAATTGTGTATCCATGCCTGTTATTTGTTTTATTTGGATCCTAAAAAGAATAAAGTTTTTAAATTATATATTCATTTTTATATAAGTAAACTTTGTTGAGTTTATTTATAAATTTTAATTTTTATGACTGTTATTTTTGTACTTGTATTCTTAATTATTCAAATATGAGAATAATGATTCATTATATAGTTGTTATTCTTTTACTATTGAATGCCAATCTACTTCAAAGATTTAGAGTTTAATATATCCATCGTTATTGTTTACTTATGTTCATGATTGGGGACGTTATTTACTGGTAAATATTTTTGACTTTAGATAATATAGTTGAACCTGCACTTCAGGTAGGCTCCCAAGAAGTATTTGTGCAGACAGCCAAATAGAAATCCTTCAATTGCACATTGTCTCTCCATAATATGATTGTAAAGCCCTTAACCCATTTTAATTGTTTTGTATCTTAGCTAGTTATGCTCCACCTATTTTATAGGTGGGATCCTCACCTGGTTATATTTTGGGGTTGTACTGTTATAATAATTTCAAGATGTTAAATTTTTTCAGGGAGCAATCTATTGACACTTTTGTAGAGAAAGAAAAAGCTAAACATTTTTTTTATTATATAAGATCTCACTTGGTAGCAAATCTTATACATGGTTTGTGAATCTAAGAAGATTAGCAAGTGTTTCTAGTTATTAAAAACTTTAGGGATATGAGTTATCTCATGTTCCAAGTCGTTCACACCTAATTTTTGAGTTGTGACAAATGATGTTTGACATTGGTTCCTACCTTGCTGCAACTCAGCTATCTCACACTTTGGTAGAGCTTTCATTTCCCTGAGTACATTAGGTCTGATTCATATTTTGCCCCTTCTCTAGCTGCGTTTCAAAGAAGTAATATGGACCTAATACACAAAGAAGACATGTTAGAATAGAAGACAATTGAAAGATCATTTTCATTTGCACTTGGTTCCATTAGTTTGATGTAATAGAACAGAGAGTAAGTAGGCTTTGGAAAACACTTTCTAATAAAATAAATAGCTTCATTGGCATCACGAAAAGCAACTTCTAATTGCAATTTGGTTTAGTTCCCATGAGCAAAAATGAAACCATGGTTCTCACAATCCTCATTTTTGTTTTAATTAGGATCAAATCTGTCATGAATTAATATATGAAGATACATGTGAACATGGATATTCAGGTAAGAAAATAGACGCCACCTTTAAGTCGAGTGATTCCCTTTGATTTCTTATATGTCTTAGCCTATCACAGCGCGGTAGCATACTTTGCCCAACACTGTTAGACATAGGAAACATTCTGATCATAAAATAGGATGGCAAATAGGTACCTGATAATGTGCTAGACAAATATGACTTGATGAATATGTCTTTTAGGTTATGGTTGTATCATGGGAGATAATGGAGAGAAGGAAACTAAGGTTCATTGAAACATTTCTAATGTTTGGAAACTATAAATAAGAGAAAAATAGTAGTCCTTAGCAATTGGACAATACGAGAAGTATACAAGAAGGGTCACTTATGTTGAGGGGACAGTATGACAGCCTTGCCAGGAAAGAAAGCTGGATTAGTCTCTGCAAATGCCATTGAAACTTTTCTTTGGGATTTCAAATTGCAGGGAACCAAAATGCAGTAATTTCATTTCATGGATTCATATTTATTTTGTTTTCATAACTAATATGCAAACTTTAAGTTATCACAATTTCTCAAATTTTGCAATAGCATCCAATCCAAGGTCTTCAAAAATTAAATTATCACCATTCTGTGTCTTCCTAGAACTGTATGTAATAGGTCAGTTGAACGATCAAATGCCTCAACATAATGCAAAGGCAATTTTTAAGTATCAAATATAGTCTAAAATACTCCAAAACAAAGAGAGAATCATTATTAGTGATTCTCACCATTGACTATGTCCCAAATAAAACAATAAATGACTGCAAACTGTCATACAAATATTTCACTAGCACATTAAAATAAATATAATTATTCGTAAGTCTACAATACAGATACAAGCAAGAAAAATCTTATGCTCAGCACACTAATAGTGTTCTGTATTGATATTAGACTTTTCTCTTTGATATGAAATCTTCCATAAGAATATAATAAAAAACAATGAAGTATAAAACTAAAAAATAGGGGGAGGGGCAGACAAAAAATACGAACATTATGTGTAGCATTGTGAAGCTGGACAATTTGGGCTTGATACAACCATCAAATGCTCACTTTCCTACATCTAATTGTTTATTGTGTGATCATCTAAAAAGCTTGCATGTCAAGAATCCTTCATGATAATATGTTTGAAGTGCAATTGGTGATCAGCAAGTGAAAGATCAATGTAACCTGTATAAAAACATGCTGTACGTTCTAGAGTTTAGTCTATCCAGGCACCAGAGTTTGGAGTTGTAGCAACACCATACATGTTTGTTCCCAGCTTGCGACCCTTCAACGGCAATGAAAAATGACTCAAATGTCAAATTCAGCAACAATGGAAACCAAGTGATTTTGAGCCATTTCCATCAAACAAAGCTGATGAACACTGATCTCCTATGAAATTCAGGGTATGTTCACATAAGTGTAGGTCAAAGCCTGATGTTTCTGATAACAGTTGCTACTGTGCTACTTGATATGTGAATGATTGATGTCAAAGTTTTAGTCTTTCAAAAAAGGCAAACGGTCAACAATATTAAACTATCATGGAATATGATTATGTTTAACATCAGTCAAGTGGTGTCAATCACTCTTGTTATTTGATTCATTAATATAGAATGTTTAACCGCATCATAATAACTAATTTTATTAAATGATAGAGTTAAAAGGAGTTTGGGTAACAAAAATTCATACAATGTAATGATTAGATGTCTTTTACAATATTAAATTGTCCTTAGATTGAAATTAGAGTGGTAAGTTTTATTTGCTTTAGTAAAACAAAACATATCATATTTTAACCAAATAAGTTCATATGCATAATAAGTAAATGGTATTATTTCTTTTCATTCAATTTTAAAGTAGTTTTTCTCTACTACATGATATGGGACAAAATGATGCCTAATTACAATTGTATGACAGGCGAAAATGGTGTTGCTTGTGTTAAGAGATTAAGTTCATTTTCTGCACCTTCTTTTATTGGTGTGTACGAAAATGAAAATTTCTATAAACATGTGAATCAATAAACAAATCAATGCAAAACTAAAAGACAAATTTTTATGATTTGGAATTAAAAGAAAATAAGTATGACTATTAAAAAGTTGAGTTAAATTGAGTTTGGCTGACAAAATTCATGATATGTGACGACTAAATGCCTTTACAAATATTAATTTGTTCCTAAATTGAACCTAGAATAAGAATTTTAAAATTAGAATTGCATTTCTTATTAAAACTATTACATAAATAGAGGCCACATTTTGACTTAGGAAGATTATATACAGGATAAGTGAATGATATTACTTCTTCTTATCAAATTCTAAAATGAAGCTTCTCTCTTAGTGTATGCTATGGGACCCTAATTATAGACTTGAGAATGAGAGACAAAACTAAAGTTACTCATGGTACTAAAAGATGGTCATTATGACCAGTTTCAGGCTTTCAGCTGTTATTGATATATACAAACATGAAATCAAGAAGAAGAAGAAAGAGAGAGAAGTAGATATATACCTAATGAGTGGAGAGATAGTACGAAAACTGAAGCGCTCATCATTGAGAAGCTCAGTTAAAATTATTATATCATGGTCAATGTCAACAATAGCGGTGTTCACGGGATGGGACAGGATCGGGACACTCTCATCCTGTGTCCCGTCCCAAAAAAAAGATCGGGATTGAATTTTAGTCTCGTGTCTCGTCTCATCCCGAAAGTCGCCCCTTCTCGTTAAGAGTCGAGATAGGATTGGGATAAAATCGGGACGTCCCGTCATCCCGATAAATGAAATAATATTGAAAAAAGATCTGAATAATAACGTTCATTAAAATTTTAAATCATATAATTTATTAAGTTTAAAATCAAAATAACACAAGTACATAAATAACAATAATTTAAAATTAATTATTGAATTATATTAATCACAACTACACATTATAATAACAAATACAAATGATCTTTATGCTATAAGATTAGCAATAACAGGCAAGTTAAATACAATATCAAATCATTATTTTTTTACTTTAGTAAAAATGTACTAAGCTAATTATTCTTCTAAAAATAAAGTAAAAAATATGTTATAAATAAAAGTTATTAAATAGATAGATATAAGAATAATTTATATTAAAATCATTAATATATTATAAAGAAAGATATCGTCATGCTTACTCCATGCCATTGAAATTATCAATATAAAAAAACTTTAATTTTAAATAAGAATTACAAGTATTAAAATTATAATTGATATAATTAATATAAGTATAAATTATATTAATATAGTTAATATATTTAAAATAAAAAATAATATATATATAATATTCGGGACGGGACAGGACGTCCCGATGATAATCCCGTGTCCCGTCCCGTCCCGAACCCCTTTCCTGTCCCGTCCCGTAAAGTCCTGTCCCGATTATTTTTGGGTCAGGACAAGACTCGTCCCGATATGATCGGGACGATATCGGGTCAATCGGGACGGGTCCAGACTGAACACCCCTAGTCAACAAGAGGAATGTGAGAAATCTTTGCCCAGCATTTGCCTTTCTGTTTTTGGATCTTCTTTGGAGCAAGGGACGGCCTGTAATTTTTAGCATAGTAAGGGAACTCGGCAAACCATCCTTTGGAAAGTATTGGAGCTTAGGACAGTCAAGAAAAGCCAAGCATTCCAAAGAGGACAAGTGGCAAAGACTTGTGTGTTCCAGCGATCTAAGATTTGCATAGTTATGGAACAAAGTGGCAACAGGAGAAGGTGGAAATAGCCTTGTATTAGGAAGAAATTCATCATCTACATCTCCAATCCCCAAGTGTTGTAGAGAAGCAAGTTTAGTCAAATGCCAGCCCATTTGAGAGGCCATGAGCTTTGGGCATACTGAAACATCAAGATACCGAAGATTTAACGGAAAACCTCCAATTGGAAATGATTCCACTTGTGGGCAGCATTTTATTGATAGATGTGTAAGGGAAGGAAAGAGGATGTGCATCTTCTGTGGCAGCTATTTCAAATTCTTCAATGCTTCAATGTAACAAAATGCTAGCTCTGAGGCCCAAAAACCACCTTCAGGAAATAATACAAAATTAGGACTCCTTTATATGCACAATCTTGTGAGCGAGTATATGTTGTCCCGTTGAAACAGATAGCGTTTGAAGATTATTACATTCAATCAACAGTAATGACTGAAGCTTGGGGAATAAATATAGTGGAAAACACTTCAGAGAGTCACGTCTTCCCCTTATATCCAATTCAAAAATGAAGTTATGACAGTAGTGCAATGGGAATTCCAGGAGGGGACAGTCAGAAAACTTCAACTCTTCAAGGGAGGAATTTAAAATAGTATTCTCGATTTTTTCATTTCCTTGAAGCATCCAGAAATCTCGAGCACTTTTAAAGTTGATGGAAGACATTCCAACTGCTCCTTTCCACAATGTCTTAAAATCAATTTGTGAAGAGATGGAGCCCATGGAATGGAAGCCACAAGCTTCTTGCAGTTGCAGATAACCAGCATCCTTAGAGAAGGAAGTTGTTGAGGAAGATGCCCTTTCAGTTTGGGACAATTTTCAATACTCAACTCTTTAAGATGAGATGAGAGAGTACTGGAGATATTTTCACCTTTCCATTCCTCCTAACCATCCATATCTCCAAACCTCAAGATTTCTAGGGATGTAGAAGTTTCATGAAATTCTAGACCAATAGTCAGTATACTGTGACACCCTATAATTGACAATGACTTGAGAGATGGGAAAAGGCCTACCGATGGCAAGGGCATACAGAATTTGCAATTCCTCAACACTAGGGATACTATGCCGGACAGTGAATGATCTGCAAACCAACCAGGAAATCTGATACTCCCATAGCTGTTAATTGATAACTTTTTTAAATTTTGATGAGGTTGGAGCTTCTCTAGGACATCCTGGTCAATTTGTGATTTTTCATGGTCCATAATCCATTCTAATGTCAATTCCTTAAGGTATATCTTGTTTCTCAAATTAACTGTTAAAGCATCTGCAGGAGAAACTACATTCTGCAACTCTAATATGGAAACTGATCCACAAAGATTAAATTCGTTCAACTGTTTAATGTTTGACTGACCACATCTGTCTACAATAAATGATGACAGCACCTGAAAATTTTTCAATTTACCCAATTGCTTTGGCATCTCCCTCACTTGAGTCTCACGAAAATCAAGATGACGTAGATTCATGAGTTTATGCACATCCATGGGCAACTTTTTCAAATCACGACAACGCCACAACTTTAATAATTGTAAATGAAAAAGTTGGCAGATTGAATCAGGCAATTTCTTTATCTTAGTTCCTGATAAGTCTAAAAAGCGTAGATGTTTGAGATTTCCTGTGGAATCGGGCAAACTCACAATGTGATGATAATCAGACAGAGACAAAACACGCATGCATCTAAACTTGGATACTAAATCGAGAATAACCTTGAAAGATATGCAATAAAGGAAAGAGGTGTGGCTTGTACTTCTATGTCCTTGCATGGATGGAGGCAAGAACGTTCGCAATTTATTAGCCTGGCACAAAACCTCAAATCGATTGGAGTATTCATAGAAAGTTCTTAAAAATGAAACATGGCGGGTCATTTTTGTCAAATTGTTTTCTTCATCCACCCCAACAGATGACAAAATTTTCCATATTCAACTTTTGCCAAATCATTAATAAGGTCATGCATGACAAAGCGTGTTTCATCTTCCATTGATTGTTGAAAAAATGACCTCGACAATAAGTCATGGAAGAATTGTTCTCCTACTTCTCTTGCAACTTTGCTTTGATGGGCACATGGTAGAAAATTTTCTGCCATCCATAACTGAATTAAACGCTCCTTGTCAAAGTCATAATCTTTAGGGAATATAGAGCAATAAGCAAAGCATCTCTTGAGATAAGAAGGGAGATAATGATAACTCAATCTCAAAGAAGGGAGAATTTTGCTATCGCTTTTCTCCTCCCATATCTCACTTCTTAAAATGCCATTCCACTGTACATGAGAAAACTCCGCGTACAAGAGACTCCCAATGACTTTCAAAGCTAAAGGCAACCCTTTGCACTTTTTACTTATTTTCCTACCGATTTCTTCAAGGTCATAGCTTGAAGAAAGAGCATCTCTACCATGGAATGCGTATTCACTTAAGCCAACTATCTCCTTCTGGTAAGGGCTTCAATGAATGTATTTTAGAAGAACGCATGGTTGAAACAACCTTTACACTGCGAGTGGTTGGAATAATTTTACTTCCAGGAGCCCCATGATTGAACGGTGATTGCAAGGCCTCCCATAGCATAAAATTTTCATTCCACACGTCGTCTAAAACAATGAGAAATCTCTTCTGACTCAACCGCTGCTTCAATTTAATTTGAAGCACGTTTAAATCGTTGGTATCATCCCTAGACATAGTGATTGCCTCATAAATTGTTTTTGTTACTCTTAGGACATCAAACTCATCAGAGACGCACACCCAAGCTTTGATGTCAAATTCATCCATAGCCATCCTATCATTATAAACAAGCTGGGCAAGGGTAGTTTTACCCAATCCACCCATACCCACTATAGAAATGATAGATAGCTGGGTGTTATCCTTGTCTGATAGCAACCATTCAATGATCGTTTTTTTGTCATCATCTCTACCATATGTTCTAGTTTCATCCACCAAAGATGTTGTTGGCAATCTAGGAGGTACATAACTTGTTAATACAGCAGCACCGTTACCACGTTCATTCAATCTTAATATATCCTTTTGAATTGCAAGATATTCAAGATTTTCAAGGACGTTTTTAATCTTGGATTCAATTGCCTTCTCAAATGTACAGAAGCACCGAAGAAGTTTCGTACCTTGGCTGTAGCACTGGTTTTACTCTGATGTTCGGCTTCCACCTTGCGCTTGAGCACTTCATAATCAATCTCGTCCAAGACATCCTCAGCATCTTTGACCATATAAATCCAGTCCTTCACCTTTGTATTAGTGATCTGCTTTTGCTCTGCATCATCAAACACAGCATCGATGGATAACAGCACGATCTTCAACTTATTCAGTAATGTTTCGTTCAATTTTCGGTTCTTGAAGAAGTCGAGGACACCACGAGATGCCAGCCTGTCAAAAGCCACTTGAAGAAAAGCAGAGAGAAAAGCACCACCAACCAAAGCTGCGGCCATGGATGAAGCCGCTGTGCGTCTGCAAAAGATGGAATCAACCGAAGATGAAAATCCAAAACGAACAAGAAAGAGACTGAAATGCTTAGGAGAAAGGTATTACAAGGAGTGAGATATATAGCAGGAGTGTGTAGAAAATGCTTTCGGTTCGTCTCCACTTCGCCATCATCGCGCTCGAAACTGTCTCATCTCATGTCATAGGAGACTTTCAAGTTTTTTTTTTTTTTTAAATATTCCGGGAGATTTTTAACGTGGCATTTCAGTCCTTGAATACCTGCCTTGACTGGTTATGACTTATGATTTGATAAGTAGCTCAATGTTTAACTTTTTTTAAGTACCCGATTTCATTCCATAATTTTTTTTTATTACTATCATTATTCTCTTCGTTGACACTATGAAGTTTTTGTTTTATTACTTCAGTTGGTCATAAAATGTGGCACCGCTAATAATAGAATCTGAACTTAGTTCATCACATTATGGAAGATTAACTTCTTACATTAGATCCAACCCTATTAGTATTATGAAGTGTTTTGTACTTTATTTTTTCCTTTTTTCACAATTTTTATATGACTATCTAATTATGTTAGATTTAAGTATTGTCAAGTTAAATGAGGGATAATTTCCTAAAAATGTTTTTGTTAATACTTAATGGGGATTCATTTTACACCCTATACACTTGAATTATACGTTTTTGTTGCAAACGTATATATGAGTTTTTTAAGCTAAAATTTAAGTGAATTAAATTTTTTTTCTTAAAAAATTTTTGATCTATATTATAGAAGTTGCTGAAAATCTGCTTTTTGAAAATTTATTTATATAATCAATAAAATACTTTAGATATAAAGACGTTGTGAATTTATTGTTATAAAATAATCCAATTGCAGTAAGAGATATTAGTGTACCTCAATTTTAATGAAAGAATATAATTTTTTTAAAATAGGGAAACACAATAGAGTATAGATATCTGTTAAAAAAATAAAACATGCATTTATGAACAAATTAGTCAAACTCATGGTAACTCAAAAATGCCTCTTTCAGGAGTACCATTCAATTTTGGCAATTTTGAGCTGAACGGATTTGACCATTTCTTCATGTATAATTGAATAAAGGTGTAAATTTTGCCTTAAATTATTTTTTTTCAGAAACATTAGGTAACTTATATAATAAGGTAGTGTAAAATAAATTCTCAATTTTTAAAAATGGCTTAGTTAATTTTTATTTGACGAACATTAACTTTTTATATAGAGCTCACAAATTTTTTATTGAAAATGACACGTGACACTTTACCTCACCAAATAAAAGTATACATTTAGTTATAAATTATTTTTGAGTAACACTGGCTATCTTCTATTATAAAAAATGGATCATCCAATGCTTTCTCATCAATTTTAGCCAAATATTATTTATTTTTAAATTTATAAAATCTATAATATATCAATCTCTTTAATCTTTTTATTTTTGTTTTTAATCTCAATTTAAGAAAAATAGATTCAAAGGGTTCATGTAAAAAAATTGTGTCCGTTGGATCTCTCCATTGGGCTTTCATCAATTTTTGATCTGAAAGCCCCTTTTGGGCGTGTAATCACTTGGTATTAATAAATATTGATTTATGATTTAAAAAGGAAAGTAAATAAATAAAAAATATGTTAAAATGATAGCATAAAATATAGATCCACAACTCATTATATTTGATACTTTCTTTTACATCATGCATATTAAAAACTTAAACAATACATTTTATTTCAAAATTCATTACTCTCATGCAAATTACAAATTTAAAATACAAAAATTTTTTTTATTTTAATTCTTTTTTATCCATATGCATGTTGAACATATAAATGATAACTTATTTTATTTCATAACCGTTCACCTCCAACTGTTTAAAAGTTACATGACCTACAAGTAGTGCATCTCGAGTTTAATCAAACGAAAAAATTATCTACTTAATATTATATACTTAATGTGCTTGTTTTTAATTAAATCAAAATATATATATCTACTATAGATTATTTATTCTATAATAAATTTTTGTTATTAATATTATTAACATATTAAAATTCACATGCCTTGATTCAAGTGATTAAAAGTATATTAAATACACAAAGGTAAGTATACAAATCTTACTCTTAATTGAATTCATAGTAGACGGGGCCAAAAGAAAAAAAAAAAAAAACCTTGACCCCTTTTTATTCATAATTAAATATGAATAAATATCGCTTCCGTATGCAACAAGTGTATCCTGAGTTTAATTGTTTTGATGATCATTCTTGAAGACAAGGACTATTTCGAAGAAGGAAGTATTGTTAGCCGTATGAAACAAGTGTTAAGAAGTTTGCTGTGACGTATATTTGAAGAAAGTTAGTGAAAGTTTTAACCAACTCCTTGAATTACATTTATCAGGAAGAGGGAACTGTTATGATAGTTAATGAGTGTTCAAGACACTTTCTAAAAAAGATTGATAGTTCTTAATATAAAATATTTAATAAAATATTAATTATATTTTTATAATATTATTTTTATTTAAACTCATTAAATATAAGAGGCGGTGTATAAAATTAAAAGTTTACTATATTTTTTTACAAAATTAATGATTTAGCTACCTTTTCTTTATTTCAATGAAATAATAAAAGATGTCTTATAATAAAGATTAGGGATAATAGTTTTGAAGTTGTCCAACAATGTTTAATTGAGTCATCTGCTTCTTAAAATTCAAAAGAAATATGTGTGTCAAAGTTATCTCAGGAAAAGAGAATAGTAGAAATCTATCCATTGTAAAATCGGAAAATGTTCATTGACTTGAACAGAATCCTGTTAAAATCAGTGAATAACAATTTTAAGTTAAAGTTCTCTCGACAAAACAATTAAAACAGTCAAGCTTCTTGAAAATAAAGAGCACATGGTTGACTTGATCATAATATAAAAGTTTGGATTCAAATTTCAAGTCTAGAACTCTCTTGTCAACCGAAAAAATGAAGAATATTTATCTTGAGTAGGTAATGATGGTTCAATCAAGTCTTTAGCGTCCCTGCCGCATGAAAAACTTTTATACTATGCTTGGCTTGCAGAGAAAGAAGAAAAAAATAGAAAGAGAAAAAATTAAAATAAAAAAAAATAAGAGGAATATAATTTTTTTTTCATTATACTTGGTTGAGTGAAAGAAAAAAGAAAAATTATCAATTTTATATGAATAATAATAGCTTTATTATTTATAAAAATATTTATATAATAAAATTTAGTATTTTAACATATTATATCTATAATAATTTTTATCATATATTATTGACTGAACAAAAACATAATTAAAATTATTGTAATCCATAATAATCTTAAAATTTGAAACTACAACCACCAAATATAAGGTACTTAACTAAAAATTAATCTAAAAATTTAGAATTAGCATTTGTTTATTTGTCTAAAAATTAAATATACTACTTGTTTACTAAAAGTTTATGATTAAAATGTAATTATGCTACAAATATCATGATAAAAATAAAGAGAAGCATGGGGTATGTAGCAATAAAAAAAATTGATGGGTAAATTTGAAAGTGAAATTTTCTCTTCAAAATCTCTCCATACTTTGATAGAAAAGTTAAAGATAAAAACATATTAGTCTCACATGTTATTTTCCTTCTACTCTTTCTCTCTCCTCCACTTTTCTCTCCATAGCCAGGGGGGGGAATATTGTCCCCCCCCCCCCAAAATTTTTCCCTCCCCTCACTTTCATCTCTTGCCAAGCATAATATTAGGGTGAATAATATTTAAGGCCCTCTCAACAAAATTTATCATAATAATGATTCATCAATTTTGCATTAGATATTGTTTTGGTTACAAACATGTAGATGTTTTGTTAAAAGCTGAACTTAACTTGTTAAATTTCTGAGAAAATTATAACAAAAAATATAGGTTAAATTTCATCTTTTAACAATAATATATATGTGATTTTACAAGACAATATCCAATATAAAACAAATGAGCTCTTATAACAATAAATTTCCTTTAGAGTGCCTTAAATGTCATTTTCCCAAGCTTTTAAAACTTTTGACAGAGTCTACATCTTGCATTTTCACAACCAAGAATCCAGCTATCTGAAGCAGCATTACCTAGCCACTGAGGCTTTTTACAACCATGTCAAAAGGAAACCCCAACCAACTAGATTTTCACTCATGAATAAGTGACGCTAATGGCCGCAAGATCTCCTCAAACATTAACTTCTAAAAGGGTGTGTAATATAATACAAGTGTGTGTTTCGATTAAAAAATTTACAACTGAGGTTAGCAAACTAAGATTAGGAGAAAAGTCAGTGAATGTGACATGATTTATGTTTGAATATTTTTTTGTCAGAAGTCAATTAAATAAACTGAAATTTTTTTGAATGATTTAATTCAAAAACCAATTGAAATATGTAATGACAAAAACTTAAAATTACAATTAATAAGTAAAAAATCTTAATATTTAAAAAGTTATAATTAAATGATAAAATTTAAAATATTCAATTATGAAAAAGATAAAATAATAACTATAATGAGTTTAATAAAATATACGTGGATGTGAAAAATTTATTAAAGGAGTTAATACATTATTATCAAATACTCGCATCATAAATATTTACTCAATAAACTTGATAAAATTAATGCAATCAATTTTGTTTTTGCTTTACTAATAATTAATAAATACAAATATACAAGTATAATAACCATAATTATAATTTAATAGTAAATACTAAACAAATATATTAAAGTAGATATTCTGTACTTAGTAATCAAGCATACCATCAACCAGAAAACATGGCATTTGCAAAACCATAAAAAGACTATTATAAATGGATGAGAGTTTCATAAACTTAAACCAATGGATTCAAGGTAGATTTGACAAATTAAATTACATCACAAATTTTTTATTCAATTATAAAAAGTTAAAATAAATTTATAAATTATAAAATATTCGTCATATAATCTATAATTTATTTTTTAATTATATCATGAACATGATATGTCTATTTTGATAATCTAAGTAAATTTGACAAGGATGTCCTACTGTTATCTATTGCTCATGGTCATCTATATTTTCATCTCATAAATTAAATCAATGCAATATATATATATATATATATATATTTCATAAATCAAAATGCATTTTTATTAAGTAAATAGATAGATGTGAAAAACAAATATGATGAATTTGTGA